ACTTGTTAAGCTGATTTTCTATTTGATGGCATTATTATAAACATTTGTCTGTTGTTGTATTCTGATACTAAACCTTTCTGAGAGCTCTACTGTGTATGTATATATACTAACAGATGATACATAGAGGATATATATAGGCCAACTGTGTTTTCATGTTTTATAAGCAGAAAATATATATTTTCTATAGTCTATTTCCAGTTCTCAAAATTCTAATAAATTTTCCGCAAGCCTCTCTTGTGGTTGAGTTATACCCTCGTTACAAGTTCTTAATGTTAACTGCAACACTTTTCCACTGCTACACTTTCCACTTTAATGTAGTTTTAACTTTTAAGTATACAGTAAGATACATGTGTCAGTAAACGCTTGTACTGCATCACATCTTAGTACAAAGTATTTCTGTGTGTTGAGAGATTGTAATTATCACGTAAATGTGCTTAAATATTTTAAACAAATGGCACTTAAATGTTCCTGATTAAAATCAGTAGACCAGTTCTTTACTCGTTGCTTCACTTTGTGGGAAATGTTGAATATAAATCTCAGCTGTTTGCAATATTCTGACAAAGTGTTGACATTTTGGCATTTTTATGCACAAAGTATGAATAGAATGAATTAAAGTTGACTGAACATTTTCTCTTTTTTTATACCTGACTTTTTTGGAGGATTTGGGCACAATCTTTAATGCTACACACTTTATCTTTTGGGCCAAATTGGGTTTGTCTCTCAGAATACTGTTTCATGATTCATTTCAATCTGCAGATTTCCTACACTTCCATGTCTAATTGCTCCCTAAACAATCCATAGAACATTCCCATCATGTCCCTCCTTGCACATGTTAACTGTCCACAAACAGCCCGTCCGCCCTCCGGCTCCCGTCCAGAGATGGTCCTCTCCACCCCCTCCAGAGCCCCTCCAGCTTTGTCACTGCACATCTTTGCACTCAGCAGGGACTCCTGCCACAGTGGACCCTGCCTGGCCCCATACCAGCTCCTGCATTGATGCAGTGCAGCTGTTTCCAAATCCAGCCCTTGATTTTGATCCTCTTCCTTTTTTTTAACATGCCGTCCCCGAGGACACTTCTGACCTGGTGGTCCTTTGTGGCTGTCTAATAATTTAGTTGTTCCCGGATCATCTGCAGACGGAGGTTCAGAGGCACAATTATTATTAATAAAGGCCATTTTTGGACACCTTTTGTCCTTCAGGGTTTATTTTATGCTGCAGCAGAATTTGAACCCTCATCCTCATAAACAGGCATTTAGAGTAGAATATAGTACTAATTAATTTAAATGTACAGGAGGAAGAGAGAAAATATGAAGCTCAGTGTTGTACAGATTGTAAAGCTCTATGAGCAACAACTCTGCTCTCAACAAAATAATACACAATAGATTTTCCACTTCTTTGTTCATTTGCACACATGATATTCAAACTCAGATTCTTTTAAATGGTTATACTGCAGTTTCTGTAGTGGCGGAAAGTACATTTACTCAACTACTGTACTTGTAATTTACGTGAGTATATTTCCTCCTACTTAATACTTTCAGACTATTACAAATCTGAAGCAAATGTACTTTTTGCTCTACTACATTTTTTCTTGATTTTCATTCATCTTATACTTACAAAATATATAATCACCTTATAAAATATGATGCATTGTTATAGATTAAACCGCAGGAAGCAGATAAAATGAGTTAAATTCTTAACTACACTAAATTACTACCAGTAACAATAAACCAATAATATAACATAATGGAATCCACAATAAGTACTTTTACTTGTGACACTTTTTATTTGATAATACCATAAATAAAATTTTAAATGGAGAACTTCTACTTGTAATGGAGTATATTGTATATTATCCTTCTTTTACTTCAGAAACATCTGTTCTTGCACCAATGAGGTCCATTCACTCCTGAATAACTCTTTATAGCAGTGAATGTTTCCTTGGTTGATCCTTATTGATCTGTTGTTATTGTCTGTCCACAAAAGTACTGTTTTTGTTTCAGTAGCAATACCACAGTGTAGAAGAGACATTCATTCACATATTTACTTAAATTTACATATATATTTATATATATGTAAACATAAAAGTACAAAAGTATTAGCATCAAAATATACTTACTAAGTATTGGATTATACTTTATAATTATTGTTGCATTAATATGTACATCACTTTAATGTTGCTGCTGGTAAAGCTGGAGCTCTTTCCGTAATCTCTAACATCACATCATAATTTAGTAGTTTATTATATTTTATATGAATAATTTGGAATTGACAAAGTAACTAAAGCTGTCAGATAAATACAGTGAAGTAAACATAGAATTACTCAAGTATAAGTAACCCAAAAGGCACAAGTAATTGAATAAAATCAATTGATATTATTGAATAATGAAGTACTTAGTTATTCAACTATAATCTATCCAAACTATAATGACTCTAAAGCATACAGAGTGTGTCGTTTTTGTATCAAATTGGGTCATAATGTTTTAATTATTGCTGCATTGTCAGAGGACTTGAAATAGAGGATGAATCCACTTTTCCAAAATTGGGGCTGAACCATTTAAAAACAGTTTTTCTTGCTGTGTAAATCCAACACACCCTTCCAGCTCCTCCACAGCAAGCAGGTGTCCTGACTCACCCCCTGTCCTGTCCAACAGGGGCGGGAGGGGGAGGGTGGGGGTAAGAGCTCTTTTACGGGGGGGGAGACTGCACCTCTCTCACCTTTGCAACTCATGAGCCGATCTTCAGTATCCTCCACACTGTGGCAGCTACCTTAATCTGTTTTTAATGACCCTGCGGAGGATCCCCGGAGACTCTCCAGTCCTTTTCTCCCAGCTGGTTGGACGGCAGTATGCGCGCGCGCGCGCGCGCGTGTGGGTGTGTGTGTGTGGGTGAGTGTGGGTGTGTGTGTGCAGCAGGCCTGAAATCTGAGACATTCAGCGTGTGTTTTAAAGGGAATTATTTTTTTTAGCAAGGTAACTCTTTTATTGGGATAAATTCTTATTTCTAAGGCCCAAACTACCCTCGGCCTACATCAAGAAAAACTTTTAATATTCTTATTCTGTTTTATAACTTTCTGTTATTTTACTATTAAAGTTTAAATGTTCACATGTATTATTTTAAGTCTATTTTCTCCGCTTTTTTCCTTCAGGCTATTGGTTTCTCTTTTGATAAGCGTAAACTCTGCTATTTATCCCCAAACAAACGCTTTTCTTTGATAGGTTTCCCACCAGCTCTTTGAAATAAAACAATTACCGCATTCTTTGTGCAATAATTGTCAATCATCCACATTAAATTGATAAGCTTTAAATGGACAGAATAATAGCTTAAATTGTTTTACAATGGAACAGCTAAGCAGGATGATTTGCTATTGCTGACATGCCCGCGGCTTTACCAGCTCCACATAATGCCATAGGTTAATGCATAAATAAGCAAATCAAATCCATGCGTTACCCCAATTCAATTCATTTAATTCCTCTTTAATAAAGAAGCGGCCCCACCCCCCTGTCCCCGCCATTTACCTCGGATTTGTGCGATGAATGCTATAAATGTAAATCAATCTAGATGAGAAAGAATCCCATTGAAAGAGCAGAGAAATTTCATCTGGGAAAAGGAGACAAATGTAGGAGGGGCCCGCTCATAAAAAGCAGCTGTTTCACAGTAATCTTTTTTCGTGCCCTGTCACTCACCTTGCCTTTTCACTATCTCTGCAGCTCAAAAAAAAAAAAAAAAAAACTCTGCATCTATTGTATTTAGTTGCCATATCTTCTTTTCCCATTACATTGCCATATTCGTCCAAGGAGAGAGAGAGAGAGAGAGAGAGAGAGAGAGAGAGAGAGAGAGAGAGAGAGAGAGAGCACAACTTGCCCATTTTTTTCGGACAATCCCCTTGTAGTTGTTGGAGTGAAAAGAGGAGTGCATGGATGTCAAATTGCCCTCAAAACACCATGAAAGATTGATTTGCAGCACTTTTCAGGGCCCTGACATTACTTGGAGGGGAGCTGAATAGGAAACCTGTGAGCCGGGGATGGAATAAAGATGTCCTCTCTGCTGGAAAAGAAGGAAAACTGCCCATTTAGCCCCAGTCCATCAAGCCCGAAAAATAGGCAAGAGAGGAAAAAACACAGAGGACTGTGACTATAGAGAAGAAAAGGCTCGTATATACTCATCTAAACGTTGTCACAATACCGAGGGGGCTCCAGAACAGCCATGAATATTAAACCGCTTACCTCAACAAGGGCTTGAAAAAGTGAACCACGTCAAAGCAGCTTTGCATTTTTTGCATGCGAACAATGCTGTAAAAAAAGAAAAAAAAGAAAAAGCCACGTCGAGCTTGTTTCCATTCTTGTTATTCCCGCGCTAAACTGCGCACAAAAAAATTAATATTACCACCGCATGAATACGAAATGCCTGAGAAAAAAATCAGCGAGCAACTCCCAGACTCAATGACCCAATTCTGTGAAAAGTCCATTAAAACTGCACAAATGTTCTTTTTAATTCCCCCTTTTTTCATCTTGTTGCGTTATTTTTATTTACGCATAATTTCAAAGAGTAGGCTATTGTTTTTAAGTATTTTTCTATTCATAGGAGTGCAGCTTATAAATTATTTGCGCTACAATCAATTTTTTTTGCGCCCCTTCAGACTTTTTACGCACTTTGAACACTCCATTCTGCAGCTTTTCGATCTTAAAAAAAAACATTTTAGAAATGCATTCAGCCCTGGTCAAAATGCGTGTGCAGCTTTGCGCATAAATGTTGCATGATTTTTAATGTTCAACTTTGAGTGCAGATAATTACTAAAATAAAGTTTAAGCCACTCTTCTCTCTTCTCTCTCTCTCTCTCTCTCTCTCTCTCTCTCTCTCTCTGTGTGTGTGTGTGTTTTTAATGGCTCTGCTGGCCGGTGGCGGTGCAGCAGGCAAGTCCACGCGGTGAGGGGTGTGTCATTAATAAGTAATTAGACAGGGGGTCACACCAGCCACTTATATAAAGAGACCCTCGCAGCCGGGCAGGGGCAGCTTTTACCCACAGACACTCCGGAGCAGAAGGACGCAGGACTGAGGAGCAGCTCTCGGTGTCCACTTGTTCTCCGCTTGCTCTTATCAATTCAAGGTTTCCTCTCCTATTTTTTGTGTGTGTGTGTGTGTGTGTGTGTTGGAGTCTTGCAAACATGGGCTCTGTGCTACCCGCCGACACTCTGGCTCTCAAGTCTGGATTTAAGTGTCCGAGCCGCTCGCTGTCGGACGTGATCACCTCGGACATCCTGCACAGCTTCTTGTACGGCAGGTGGAGGAACGTGCTGGGCGAACACCTGGCGGAGGAGCGGCAGAGCGGCAGCAGCCCCAAGACCGCCTTCACCGCCGAAGTGCTGGCTCAGTCTTTCGCTGGAGGTAGGCTGACATGCTGCTTTACCACGGGACTATTTTGTTGCATTATTAGTCCTGTTTTTTTTTTTTTATCATATCGGTGTGCATGTTTGCACCTTATAAATTGCAGGTTTTGTAGGATTTTTTTGTGATTTAAGGCGTTTTTTGGGGGGTGGATTTATGGAAATAAAAATAATTATTCGATTAGTTTTGATAAAATATATTTTTTTTCCTATATGGGATGTTCTTATTAGATTGTATGCAGTTTCCTACAAATGTGTATCACAGAAATCCAAGATGCAAATGCAAATTTGCCACTGACAGCTAACTTTGGGCATTTTTTCCCAATAATATCATCACATAATTTCCACAAGATCTTGCCACCCCTTCAAAAAAACCAAAAATAACTTTTACTGTCCCACTCAAACATTTTCCACAAAGTTTCTCTGCCTAACTTGTTGCTGTTTTCTGCATTTTCCCTCATTTTGCTGCTTTTATTTCGACCCATTTAACGCATTAACCCTTTCAGAGCTTTGAGACCTCGCGTTTAGAGGCTTGTTAGGCGTGTAACTGCCGCTGATTGAAAGACGCAGGGCATTAAATTCATTTGGTTAACTTTGTGCTTGACCTGGGAAAGTTTCCACTTAAACCTCGAGGAGAGAAAGGTTTCCTTTCTTTGAGATGTCCCGGGTTTTTATCCCGCATTCATCAATCTCCGGACAGTCTCTTTTCCTCTCTTGGCAGCTATGGGGCTCCGGAGCTTTTCTCTTTCTCTCTCCTTAAAAGATTTGCTGTTCCTCGCATAATGCACCGTGAAGGCTAAATCTAATGCTATTCATTGCATGTCAACCATCTAATCGCCTTTCCATTTTTTTGTTGCAGAAATTCCTGAGTCTTTTAAACAAGTCCTCGTCTCATTCAGCGCAAATTTATTGCTACAAAGTTCTTAAAAGGATAATGAATTTGGAATTAGCCGTTTCTTTTCCAGTAAACTTTAATGAATATCACATCTGAAGCATGACCAATTGCTGGACCCCGGGCAATAGAGGACCATTTAACCCCTATTCGGCCGGGCTTTTTTAGCAGCCTCAAATAAGAAAAAAAAAAAATCTTTGATTTTGACATTAAAGAAGCGCAAGAGGTTTTTTTTTTCTTCTTCTTCTTTTTTTTTCTCCTTTTTGATGCGGATGAAAATGCTTTCCGAAGGGGTTTCTCTGCACAACAAAAACTTTCAATTCAACCAGATAATCGAATTAAACGGAGGATAAGGTGTAGCTTAATATTTCGTGACTAAAATAAGATCCAGTCCATTTGCTGCTTTCAGGACTTTTCCAGCAATCCGGTTTCATGAGGCGCGCTGGCAACAACTCTTTGACCACAACATTTCTGCTTTATCAGCATTTCTTTGTGCATAGTTTTGCTCCTGGACATTGTTAGAAAAATCTATTTTAAGACACTGACACTCATCTATATGTTGCGCAGGCTGTTTTAACCCTATAAAGCCATCTATAGCCTATATTGTTTTAATTCCCACTTTGCATGCTCACGTTTTTTCCTTTATATTTGCAGAGGTGCAGAAGCTGTCCAGCCTGGTGCTGCCCAGTGAAGTGATCATCGCCCAAAGCTCAATCCCTGGAGAAGGTCTGGGCATCTTCTCAAAGACTTGGATCAAAGCAGGAACCGAGATGGGCCCTTTCACAGGGAGAGTCCTGTCCCCTGAACACGTGGACCTGCTCAAGAATAACAACCTCATGTGGGAGGTGAGCTGAGACTTCATTCATTCATTCATTCAGTCAGTCAGCAGGGAAGGCCAGTGAGATCCTGCTCAGACTTTACCCCTGAGTCGGTGTTTTATAACTTCATTCCTGTGTTCTAATATTGGCTGTTTTGTGCGCTCAGGTTTTCAATGAAGACGGCACTGTGCGCTACTTCATCGATGCCAGCCAGGAGGATCAGCGCAGCTGGATGACTTACATAAAGTGCGCCCGGAACGAACAGGAGCAAAACCTGGAGGTGGTGCAGATCGGCAGCAGCATCTTCTACAAGGCGGTGGAGGTGAGAATTTACTGAAGCAGCTAGTAAAAACAGTACTTTAGGCCAGAATACATCCACTGGACATTCAGTGGCTTTATGGGATTTTATTGACGACCATCAAGAATGTAAATCTCCTTTAGAACAGCGCCACCTGCTGGACGAAGGGGATCATAAATATGTGATTTCTAATTTATCTAACCTGATGGTCAGGTTGCGCCTGACAAAGAAAACTGAAATCACATATCGATTGGCTGACCTTTACCCTTTTTCCTTCCTTCCTTCCTCAGACCATCCCGCCGGACCAGGAGCTTCTAGTCTGGTATGGAAACACTCACAACACATTCCTGGGAATCCCTGGAGTTCCAGGAATAGATGAAGAACAGCAGAAGAAAAGCAGGAGTGGTGAGTCATTTTACGGATCAATATCAGGGCTGTTAATACAAAAATAAACCTCTGAGACCCATCTGAGACTGAAACTTCAACTGTCAAGGCTTTAAACTAATCTCCCTCCTCTTTGTTTCAGATGACACCCACCCCTGTGAAGGCCCTCCCTCTTGCTCCCCCCCTTCCTCCATCTCAGCCGGTCGCATGCGGTGCGTAATCTGCCACCGCGGCTTCAACTCCCGCAGCAACCTGCGCTCCCACATGCGCATCCACACTCTGGACAAGCCCTTCGTCTGCCGCTTCTGCAACCGCCGCTTCAGCCAGTCGTCCACGCTCCGGAACCACGTCCGCCTGCACACCGGCGAGCGGCCCTACAAGTGTCACGTCTGTCAGAGCGCCTACTCGCAGCTGGCGGGCCTAAGGGCGCACCAGAAGAGCGCACGGCACAAACCGGTGGTGCACGCCTCTGACGTGCCATCCCAAGTGTCCCCTCCCCCACCACAGATGACGGCCATCCCTCACCAGCACCAGATGCCCATGGTGCACCACATCCCCACCATGGTGTTATGATGGCAGAAACACTGAGGGACAGTAAGGCATGGACAACGTTGCACTTTAGATTATAGCTCTATAGAAGGGAGATCCTGATGAGACAGGCCCTCATTAAGGAAATAAATGAGTTGATGTGATTGTAAAACATCGAACAAAGACATTTAAATGTGTTGCCTTATTTGTATCGCGTGTTTTCCTTGGTCATCATGTGATCAGAATTCCAGCAGAAATATGTTTTAATGATTGTCTGTGTTTTGGAAAGTTGAAACATCCTGAAAAACAACTCAAGACTTTACAAATAATTTGTCATTAACGCTTCTCTGTGTAAACAGGTGTCACACATCACTGCAAATGTGAGCCTTTTTTTAATACATTTCTTTAACTTTTGCATCACATCCTCACCAGCTCAGGTGAACAAGTTCTTTCAAACAGCAGTTTATACAGTTAGTAGAAGCTAAGGGATGTGGCCCCCGGTGTACATTGTTTGAGCTGCATCGTTCCACACTGTAAACTGAAATTGTCACTTTAACCTTGCACAGACTGTATACTACTACACTATTGTGTAATTGTAAAATTGTATTGTATGCTACTGTACATGTGAATGTAAATACATTTGTGCTTTCTTCTATTCTAAATAAATATGATATGATATTACGTATGATGGTAATTATTGTAAGAACACCTGTTGCTCCTTTAAAGGCTCCCAGATGGTGCACTTTAAAACACTGAGCATACACAGTATTTTCCTGTTCTTATGTGGTTGAGTGACTGGTCGTTTCTATATATGAGTTGACCGATCATTGTCAATTTCAGAGGTCTGCCTTTGTTTAGAGTGCATGCATTATAACCTTCTCTTAAAAGAGAGTGAAATCCAGAGAACAGACTGAGATTGACAGCCTCTCTGACTCCAAGCTGATTCAATCTGATCATCTAGTACTCCAAACAAAGACAGAGACCTGAGGATTTTCTCTTAAATAAATGTTGGTAACCTGCTTAAGAGTCCATCACTCAAACACTTTACTGAGAAACACACAATTTGCTAAACAGTTGAAGGCTTGTTTTTTATTGGTCATATCCGATCATCACCTCTTTTAGTGAAATCCAGAAAGAAAGCTATATTGATGACATTTTAACTCCATACATAAAACTTGCATCCACTATCCCAGTACACATTAAGCAAGTGGCAGACAGAGTAAAACCATTGGATAAAACACAGGTAAGTGGGGTCTAGTCTAAGTATTTTCACAGATCAACAATAATGATGAAATGAATGAAGATTTTGTGCATGTTTTCAACCAAACATTTTGAAAATCATTCAAGATTCATTGTTTTTATTGGTCATATCAGTAAAGTGTCAGTTTTGAGAAATAGAGAGAACGTATTATTGATAATGCTTTACCACAATCCAAATTTCTAGACTGCCTATCCACTTATCATACAGGCTGGAGACCCAGTATACAATTACACGTTTGGCAAGTGGTGGGGTAAAGGGACGGGGCAGGTAAGCAGCACATCAGTGGTCTGGTGCCTCACAACAGGTACGGTTTGAACCTGCCAGTCTTAAATTTGTTCGCCCTTGTATCTGTGATTTCCTCTGGTTGCTCTGGTTTCCTCTCACCGACTGAATGTGTTTTGGAAAGGTGCAGTAAATGTATTGAAAACTTTAAAATATTGTAGGTGTGAATGTGTTTTTCTGTCTATAGCTCTGCGATAGGCAGGAAATAATATAAGAAGTAATTAGTCCTACAGGAAGTTGGCTTGCTCAGTTCTTAAAGACTCAATTTTATGTATTAAGACATAGAAATAGTCAGCTTGGAACAATAATGTGTGTCAGATATGTTTTTATCAGCAAAAGATTTTCACATTAAAATTCTTTAAAAAAGGCATGTACTGTACTTCTACCTAATTAAAAAGTCCAGAATCTATGAATATACATTTATTTATTTATAAAGTTTTCCTGCCGAACACGAGTTGTCTCCTACTTCACTGTAAAGTTCTCAGTGTATGTGCACTGGTGGCTTCAAGTTTCTACATCACACTTGTATCAGATCATGCTCTTAGGCCCCACCCCTTAAAATCCGATTTTAATGAGCACAGAGAAACTTTCCACATTCAGTAGATGAATGTAAAAACATCCTTCCAGTGTCAAACTCTGCACATACATCATTCTGCACAGTGAAGCTCAAACATCCAACTGTAGGAACAAGAAAAACTGATTTTTAAGAAGAGGGGACTTTAGTCTTTTTGCTTTTCTTCAATGTTGTTATTTGCCGTATTAAAACTTGTTGTCATTATGTGGTGTTTTTGTTAGTTTATGTTTTAACTGCCGGATAGACCAAAGTTTTCCACTTTTGTGGACAATAAAGTTGTATTGATTTGCATTCTGTTCCATCTAACTGTTTAATGCACATAAAAATAGCTATTAATAGTTAATACATTTCACATAAAACCTGACAAGCACTTTATTTGCATTATGCTGTGACTGGCTGACCATAATGTGTACTCTGCTTATGACAAGTTCCTAATGATGAAATTATTAATTTAAATATCTTACAACTACTTTATCTCATCTCAGTGATAAATAAACATAAAAGTTTTCTGTCTTTCTTCAGTCACAGTAATTATCTCCTGCAGTTGTGTTTCCTTCCACATGGTGACGCCACACACTCAGGAAAAGAGAGTCTCACAAGAGAAACGCAAGCGGGAGAAACAGTGCAAGGACACATTACTGACACAGACAGTGACATGATTAACAACCATTTATTTAATTCATTGGATTAATTTGCAGTGCTGACCACATTGCATGTCTACCATATAAATAGTAGATGTAAGCCACCCCAGCACTTGTCAGCTGTCAGACATTATCCAACTCCCCAAGGAGTTTTCAGACAAGTCATCATTATAACAAGTACAGAGCAACTACAGATCAACATGCTGCAAGTGAATAAGCTTCAGAGATAAACAAGGTGGTGGGGGAAATGTGGGCATCTCTTCTGTTCACTTAGAGAGGGTTTTGATTAGGTGTTGTTTCATCATTAGAGATGGTCCACACCTTCTGCCCTGCACAGCGAGGAAGAAAAAGACAGTTTACCCATCAGAACTACAACATCATAATTTACCATTTCACCTAAATCAATCAGCACCTTTACACTGGTAGGGTCATCCTGTTACTGTCTTGTCCCTGTTTGAGGAGCCACAGCAGGAAACTATCCACACAGCAGCATTGCGCAGAGCTGAAGGAAAATAAGGTGAAACACAGAAGTATTTGTCTTTTATCTGTTTGTAGTATCAGCCGAGTGTTTCCCATTGAGATAATGTTGAGGCAGGTAACCTGATCCCACCCCTATCAGGTTTAACACGCTCCACTCCACACACAGTCCTACTGTACTTTGCATCTTCATGGCTTAATTCTTTACTTCTTTCAAATTTGTTTCTCAACACAGTGAAAAGAATAAGGCTCTATATGGGAACGTCATTAGTCACAATATCATCACTTTAGTGACTAGGAAATTTGCTTTGAAATTGTCTTTGTGTGTTGTAATAAATTTGCCTCAGAAAGTTTTAATACTTACCAGAGAATAGTAGTCACAGCATGGTTCCACTTCAATGTTTTCTTTACAGGTTTACCTGGAAGTCCAGCTCATGTGTTCCCATGGGGTCAGTGTAATGATGTCCACATGAGCCAATGACACAGCGCTTCTCAGTTATAGCTGACTCCACTGACTGACGCTCACTCTGATGTCACTGAGCTGAGAGCCACCACACACATACAGGAAGGTATTATATTACTGTTAGATGTGTTTTTCATTCATTTTTGTATTGCATATTTACCTCAAACTGTGAACAGAATGAGATATTGCCATTGTTAAGATGAGAACAAATTTTTTCATTCAGTGTATACAGACTTAAAAAAGTACATAAAAAAATGAATCATCATATATCCATCATGAGCAATCAAGGTGGAAAGGTGTATATTTATCACAAAATTTTAGACATATAGTAATACAATGATTTCATTATTTTTTTTAATAAACATATTAAAATCTGCTATTTTAACCAGCTCAACATAAAGCTGAGAGCTGAAATGTGGGTGTGACAACTAACTGAAACAATAGTCTTAACATTGTTTTTGATAATTTAACAAATAAGTAAAGATTTTGAAGCTTTTGGTTACCAAAAATGTCTTTTCAATTATCAGCATCATCATTAAAACTGAAATTGAAACATAGCACATGTACAGTTATACATAATTTAAAATACTTTGCTTACCATATTTCACTTTATTGCATATACTGTATATATTTTTTTACCTATACAATTTGTTCTATTGTATTTATTTATTGTTTCTCTACATTTGCACCACATTCCCCTGTGCTGCTGTGCCAAATCTTATAGTGTGTATAAAAAAGAAATAAAGAAAAACAACTTAACAAACCATGTCAGTAAATCAAGCTTCCCTTCAATTATATGAAACTAAACACTGAATTATGTTTTATATGTGGGCATAAATGAGTGGCGTCTCTCAGTGCTTCAATAAAACATGATATAACTTTGACAATGTTGTTTTTAAATATAAAAAACATCTAAAATAAAAAAAGATAATTATATAAATACACAAAATAATCTCCAAAAAAAAAAAAAAAAAAAAAGCAATTTAGAAACTAACTTGCTTTCAAACAATGAGAAAGGATCTTCCGGATCGATTGGTTTGGTCTTGCCGGAGCGATGACGCTGTTATCTGTTAGTTAGCCTTTGGAGGATTGTTGTCATTTTTCTGTGGCTAGCCGTCAGCGCTAGCTAGCCGCTTGGTTTTCTCTCCAACACACTTTGATCCAGCAGGTGGGTCACAGTTTATGTCACCGACTTTGTACTGAGCCAAGCTGATTAACTCGAAAGCGTTAGTTTTACCGTTGTCAGAAATAAAATGTTGTGTCGGATGGAGCTTAGAGTTGAAAACAAATGTCAGCTAGCAGCTAGCTGGTTTGTTAACAAATGAGCTAGCTTAAGATTAGCTTGAGAGACATAACGTTATGGGGCTGGCGTAGCTTTAAAGCAAGCTCCCAGCGGGTTTCTGTTGAAGTGCCGTAGTTCAGTGTGAGGGCTGGACAGGCTGCTATCACTGTAAACAAAGTAACTCGAGAGTTTTACCCACAGCGACATACATTTCCATGTTAGGTCATCTTCACACGACGCGTTGGTTCTGCGAATAAAAGCCACATACCTTTACTCTGGAGTCAGATCCGGGTCCGGGTTAATGTTTGTAAGGTTTAGTTCACATGAAACCTTTAATGCTGTACGTTTGTGTTTGCCCTGTTATTGAGAAAGTGCCACGCTAACATGGCTCTGTTCCAGCAGCGACTGTGTTTATGTACAAATATTATAAATCCCTGCTGCACTCTGCTCTGGTCTTTGACAGGGACATGATTATTCATTAAGTCCAGTGTCCATAATGATAGCCCAGTGCTGTCTGTGCATTATAACACACACACACACACACACACACACACACACACACACCAGGGTAACAGCTCTCAGCTGTCAGGCTCAAATTAGTCCCAGTAATGGTTGGGCCTCCAGTTATTTATGGGTGCACAATAGTAGGACTGATTTCAGGGACTTTTCTTCTCAGTTATAGTGCATCTTCTTAGCTTGAATGTGACCTCTATGTGCTGGAGATGAAACAAGTTGTGGATTAATCAATTAGTTGTGATGATCTGCTGCTTTTTTTTTTTTTTTGTCATATATGAGAGTAAACATATATGAGAGTAAACTGTAAACAGTATGTTAGGGGTTTGGACTACTGGTTGCACAATAAAAGACTTTTGAAGGGAAATTGTGTATTTTTCAATATTCTTTGACAGTTTATAGGGAAAAAAAACAGCTTATCAATTAACAGAGACAATAATCTGCAAATAATAAAAATAGATAATGAAAATAATTGTTTGCTGCAGCCCTAGTATGTACCCTAGCATCTTAAAATTGGTTTGTCATCCTCATCATCCGTTGCCTGAAATACTTATTAAATATTTAATTTGTGTATTTTATTAGTATAAAAAAATACTCAATTTCAGTTTAAACCAGTTTATTTCAAGCTACTTTTTGCAAAATCAGTATCAAAGTCAAGTTATAAGCAAAGTATTAATGTGGTCTCTATGTCCACCTCTGTATTTGACTAGAGCTGAAACAATTAGTTCTCACATTACCTAGTTACAGCTGTGTACTTAAGGATTTACTGCTTTCTATGTCTAATCTTAGCAGTAAAGTAAATATATTTGGACTGTTAGTTGGACAAAACAAGACACATCTGAAAACAGCAACTTGGGCTGTAGGAAAACATAATCACAATTGTCTTACATTTTATAGACCAACAGATGAATTGAGAAACTAATTATGAGAGTAATTGATATTGAAAATAATCATACATAATATCTTTAATGCAGTGGTAAAAAATGTCTTGATCCATTACTAAATGGCTGCATGTCCATTTGTCAGTCTCTACAAACTCTGTGTGTGTATGTGTGTGTTTGTTCGATACACAGGATGTTATGGAGTGTGGCGCATTTCTGCCAGACAGCCTGGTGTTGGAGATCTTCCTGCGTCTGCCCCATGATGCCGTGCTGAGTGCTGGTCTGACCTGCAGGCAATGGCTGGCTGTCTCCAGAGATGAGTTCCTTTGGAGGGAGCTGTTCTACAGCTACTACCGCATACCACGCTCTGTACCCCGACACCCAGGTAAAAAAACATATAATCGTGTGTTCAACAGAAGAATTCAGTATCCTGTTAAACACACTGATAGCTTTGGGTATAGACATTTAGACCAGTTGGAGCTTTAAATAACCCGTGTTTACCTTTGTGCAGTGGCTGTGTCGTGGTACAGGGAGTTCAAGCGTCTGTTTGACTGTATCCCCTGTGTGGAGGTTCAGACGCTGAAAGAGCACAGTGACCAAGTCCTCCACCTGGCCTTCTCTCACAGGGGTCACCGGTTCTCCTCCTGCTCCAAAGACTGCACTGTTAAGGTAGGGATTAAAAGATTATCGCGGTTACTTTCATCCTGGATCTTATTTTCTTACTTTCTGCCAACATAACTGTGGGGCTTTTCTTTTCTCTGGTTTACTGGTAGCTCTAAACACTGCAGGGCCAAAGAAAGCTCCTATAATAATAATAATAAAAAACAGATTAAAACATCTCCTCTCAACACAGTGCAACTCATGCTGTATTCACATGTTGTGTTAAGTGATTTATTTGGAAACTCTCACATGGTATGATATGAGATAGACTAGATGATAAGTACTTTTAGGGTTTTCATTACAATGTTAAATCTTATTTCAGTCATATTTTTGGTTTTAAATGTTGGCACTTGGTTTGATTCTACACTGTGAACAACACGTGAAGCAGGTGATAAAATGTTAACCCTAATCAATAATTGGCCAAAAGTATTGCTGGATTTAAAGTAACCATATTTTCTATCTAGTCACATCCTTTACATCTGTTCTTCTTACGTGGATAACCAGATTAGAACTCTCATGATTTTTTTGGTTCCTCAAAGTTGATTAAAAACCCGTAACTGCTATCAGAGCATCAAGTCCCTAAGCCCAACTTGTCAAATGTGCAGGCTTATTGACAGCTGGATCATAATCAGTACATTTTATGATGAACCCTACATTTTCAGAACTAATATTCAGATGCAAATGGCTGCTTTGTTAGATTTATAATGAAATAATGTTGATATAATTATGTGATCTTTAGATGAGATTATGATCTATTGGTGTAATTTTTATATTGAAGACTTAATGTATACATGATAAAATATACAACAAAAAAAGGAATGAACGGCTGGAAATTGATTGAAATGACCAAATATCTTGTCCTGGTATTGTATTTTAGCCCTTCACTTGGATTACATAAACCTGGGTGTGTATTTGGTATGATACACTTCAAAGCTGGTTTACCAGATGCAAAGCAGAACGGAAACATGCTCCCTTTTCATTTCTGCTCATGTCAGTTAAGAGCTGTTCACAACACTTCCATTTTCTATTTTTGGAAATGCTGAAGATGATCACATCTACAAGCATACAGCCTATTAATGATCAAATTACATTTGTTGTTGTGGTTGATAATTGTTAATTTTATGTGCAACAAACCCTTGTACTTTCTACCTCTAATGAATTTTCTGTAAAATAAATGAATGCTACTTCATTTGAACTGTTATTTATGCTCTGCTGAGGCAGCAGTGGAAAAATCGACTGTAGTGAGAACAGCCACAAAAGCGAACTAACAAGTAAATGTCCCACAAACGCTGACCACCATTGTGAGCAAGTCCTCTTCTATGATGTCAAGAAAAAGTCCTGGAAAAGGATTTCTTAAAAAGAGTGGGGACCCTGACAATTAATGTGGCCTTTTTAAGAGAATTTATTGATGTTTCATTTTCATGGCAGGCTTATGATTATCACTAAAAAGTATTTTGCACTTTCGTCGGGGAGAACAAAGTGGGTCAAAATAACACCAGTAACACACATAAAATTAGACTTCTATAATTTGTTGCACCAGTGCATTTTATTGTTCAGCAGTCATCCTTCTTATTAGACACTCACTTCTTTACAAACCTGTGTTGTGGTTTGTTGTGTGCAGCTATGGGACACGGAACGGCAAGATGGTAATATCTCGCTGGTGCACAGCACCAGCATGCGGCAGTTTAACTGGGGCTACACCCAGTTCTCCCAGTTCAACGCCGACGACACCCTGCTGCTCGTGTCTGGTGTCTACCTGGGCCCACACCACTCATCGTCTGGGGAAATCGCTGTCATCAGTATGGGTAGGAAACAAACAACAACAAAAAAGTGCAGTTGTGCATCATCATTTCCTGTTGTTTCTTGAAGATTAGTTGTTTTTAGTTTTCACAATTATTTCTTGTGGACATCTTTCCTCCCACAAACTAAGGTGTGTGTGAGCGACAAATAACAGTTAATATGCATGACATGTATAAGAAATAACATGTACAGATAGCATCTGTGATTATGCAATAAATTACAGTCATCATCTATGTTAAAGGTCCAGTGTGTAACATTTGGCAGAAATGGAATATAATATTCAAAAGTATGTTTTCATGATTTTAAAATCACATGAAAGTAAAAATCATTATGTTTTCGTTACCTTAGAATGAGACGTTTTTATCTACAGATATCTCCTAGGAATGTCCCGATACGATCTCAATGATCGGTATCTGCACCGATCAAGGCATTTTTTAACCGATCTAACTGCTCTATATCGAGCTTTATTGACCTTATCGGATCTTTTGTTTTACGACAGCTGTCACACAGATGTTAACTCGTCAACTCTCTCTGCCGTGTCCACTCTGAGCTCTGTGTCAGTGTGAGACCACAGGTAGCCCCGCCTGCTGTGGAGTTTCACGGTGGGCAGGGCTACGTCTGCTCGGAGCACAGACAGCAGTAAAGATTATTTAATGTAATCTGCGCAGAAGATGTACAGACGATGTAAATAAACACTCAACAGAATACAGAGAGTTCATTCAGGTAAGATTAAAGAGTGGGTTTGTTATTTTTTACTTTCTTGTTTAAAAAAAACAACAACTAAGGAACAGCTTTTATGCAGGCATTTTTTTCTTAAGGCAATGCAGAGCAATTCAGTTGTCAAGCATATATATTGGATTGATTTTAATAACTTTACTGTACTTGAAGTGTGCACCGAGCAGTGTATTATCTGATAGATATGGTTTGAGCTTTTGCATTTTTCTTGCATTTTGTAGCCTCGCACTTGGAAAGGGGTGGGTGGAACGAGTGAGTTGCATTCTGCAACTTCACCGCTAGTCGCCACTGAATCCTACACACTGCACCTTAAAATCCACATCTCTGTGTCACATAAAATGAGGAAAACAAACTCATTGTCAGTTGCCAGTTTATTACGTTCTATACACCTACATATTAAAATGAATGCAGTCTAATACAACAGTTCTGCAGTACATCCTAAAGTTTGTGTGTGTTTCTTCATTAATGTGTGTTTCCAACTCTCCCATTCTCCCCATGTCTTAACACACAAAAAAGAAAATTACTCGCTGTTGTCACGTGTGAGGAATAAGCCATATGATGTGTTTGGCTGCTGGCTGAACGAGACCCACTTGATCTCTGGGAACCTGCACTGGATAGGCAACTTGACGTCCTGCTCTGTGCTGTGGCTCAATAAAGCCTTCCAGGTGAGACCAAGGGCATGGCAGTCAATATCTTTCTTTTCCAAATGCAGTTGTGCCATGGGATTATAGTAACTGTACATCATCTGGAACATCTTTAAAATATTTTCATATTAAAATACTTTAAATACTATTTTTTTTAAAATACATATGCTCCAAAATATCTTCCCTCCTCACCCTTGTCATTTCTCCGACAGGATGTTGAATCAGAGAACGTCAACGTAGTCAAGCGCCTTTTCAAGATCCAGAACATCAATGCCAGCACCATCCGCACAGTGATGGTGGCCCACTGCCGTCGTCATGACAACCCGGACCTGCTGCTGGACTACGAGGCTCAGTCTCAGGCTCGAAGGCAGAAAGGGCAGCAGCAACAGCAGCACCAGCCCCTCCTCTTTGACCTGGGAAGCTCCGACAGTGAGGAAGAAGATGAGGCAGAGGAGGATGAGGAGAGTCAGAGGGAAGCGAGGTGTCACGGCCTCCCCACTGGCCGCCTTCCTCAGCCCACCATCTCAGGGCTGGAGCAAGTTATACAGGTGAGCTAGGTGTAAAGCTCAGGTATTTTTAACATTTAAAAAAAATAATGTTCTTCATCATTCTTTTTGCTTTTCTTCCTTCCTGTTAGAGTTGTAAAAACGTAGGGTCCCGGGAGCTGGAGATTGAGACCCAGGTGGCTCAGATGATGGGCAGAACCTACACAAAGGCCCCTGACTCCAGCCTAATTGAGCCCTCTGACCCTGGTGAGGGAGAGGACAAAACTTACTTACTCTTCACCACCGGCAGCCTTACATACTCCCCTCACCAGATAGGTAGGATTGCTTGCAAAACATGCAAACATCTCCGAGAAATATAAGAAAAGATTACACACAGTGCTGTCAGACATCTCCTCTCATGTAGTAGATTTTGTCTCCTTACAGGTATTAAGCGGATCAAACCCGACCAGATGACTACTTGTGGTCCAGTTCTCGGGGAAGAGCGGAGTTCAGAGGAATTTTTCGATTCCCTGGACCATGTCATTGATATACATGGGCACATCATTGGTATGGGCCTTTCTCCAGACCACAGGTAAGTAAATGTAGAAAATAAGCTCAAATATACAAATATATATATGCCCTATCCACATACTATTGTGCACTTGTGATCACTTTCTATTTTCATTGTCATTTCAGGACCCAAAATAGATCTTGACACACTACCTTAGTAAAAAAAACTGCATATATCTGTCAGTGTGCCAGTGTAACACATGTATTGACTTTTCATGACTCCTTTCCATTGATTGATCAGGTACCTTTATGTGAATAGCCGGGCTTGGCCCGCCGGGTGTGTGATCTCCGACCCCATGTCCCCTCCTCCCATTGCCGAGGAGATAGACCTGCATGTGATCGACCTGAAGAGTTTGAGGGAAGAGAGAAGGAGCCTGCGCGCTCACCGAGCCTTCACGCCTAACGACGAGTGCTTCTTTATCTTCCTTGATGTCAGCAGGGACTTTGTTGCCAGGTGGGTGACCGGAGACCGTCTGCTTTTCCAAGAATAGATGCAGCTTTCACACTTGCAGCCTTTACCTTCACCTATAATTTGCATGCATTTTGTCATTAAGTGGTCGTGTTGGAATAGGGAAGTGATACTACAATGGTGTGAAATTTGTGGTCACATAGTTTTAAAATAATGTTAACCTGTAGCTTGTGTGAATGACAGAAGCTGCTATTCTTACCGGAGCAGCTTGGGTAATTTATTTACTCAGTGTTACTGAAAGCACCTACACTTACTAGAATCACACTTACAAGATGTAGGGGATACACTTGGAGATTTGAGGTTTCATTTAGGAGCAAAACAATAACAAGATGATAGAAATGACATGTTCGTTTCAGAAAGAGAGAGTAATGATGCACCTCGCAAAGAGAAAAACAATGGTTCAGGATAGGAACTTTTTACTAACTGAGACATACATTTCTGAATAATTTCCACCACCGCCTGGATTGCTTTTATTTTAGAGTATTTGCCTTGTGGGTGTTATTGATTACCCCGTGAGATAGCGGTTAATAGTCTTGGGGGATTTCCAAAGCCGTTAGTGACAATAACACAAATAACTGCTTCTTGACAGCATAATAATAAGTCATTTATTGAGTAAGAATTTAGAGAAACTGTAACCTTTGTAAGGACTTTGTAAGGGAAATGATCATTCGTATTAAAGTGCATTTTTGTTTGAAAGAGTGCAATACATAAAAGGGAAATGCGTTTTTCTAGAGATTATTAAAGTCGGAATAAACCAAAAGTTATATGGAAATAAGGCAACGTTTTGAAGAATGTTTTACCTCTGTTTTGAGTTATTTATGGTGCATTTTCTGCTGCCAGTTTTGTCATAATTTTATTTTATAATGTCAGTTTCAATACCATGTAATCATGGTAAGCAATAATGTTTCCATATCTGAATATGGAAAAAACATTATCTTTATCAGCACTTATGTGCAGCTTAGCAATCACATTGTTAAGCTTTCATTCAAGTACTATATTGCTTTTGTGTTACAGGATAGGGTCACAGTTTTTTTAAACGATACTCCATGTGTACATTTAAAGGGTTATGGTTGCAGTAATCTTTCCTCCTGTCCATACTGAGATCCATATCCTGTGTGATTTAAATGTAAGTGATGGTAGACTAAATCCAAAGTCCTCGTTCTGTGCACCTTTGTTTTTCAAAGTTCAGTCAAAGCAAGGGAGGTTTTATCAGTCTGACTTTGTCAAATCAAATATACACAGAAAGTCTCTTACATTGATTGTCAGTATGGAAGACTACAGCGACCAGTAACTCTATAAATGTGAGTGTTGTTTTAAGACAGACTCGACCTATCCTTTAATATTTAAATACCACCGATTGTAAAGGAAGTTTTGCACATTGGTGTTGTCTATTAGTCTCTTATTATGAAACCACTTCAAAGCAGGTAAAGTTGAGAGCTGAAAGGAAAGAGTCTATTAATCAGTTAGTCAATTGAAAGGCAGAGAAGATTAATTGGCAACAATGTGATAACTTATTATTTTTCAAAATGTTTCTTTTCTGGAGAGATGCTTTTTCTGCACTTCCAGGATCACAAACTTGAAGATTTGCAGTTTTTCTGACTTATTATCTTGATATCTTTGGGTTTGGGAATGTTGGTCAGTAGAAATTAGCGATTTGAAAACGTCAGCTTCTGGGAACCTGTGATGGGCATTTGTCACTGTTTCTATTACTGGATTATTATAAATGTGTTATTAATGTAGAAAATAGCAGATTGATCGATGATTCTTTTGTTGCAGTCGTAGAAATAACAGACCAGAGCGAATGCTTTGACAACAGTGTAGGAATATTTTGACTGACCTATCTCTCCACTCCACTCCCATAGTGGAGCAGAAGACAAACACGGCTACATCTGGGACCGTCATTATAACATCTGTCTGGCACGTCTGGCACACGAAGACGTGGTGAACTCGGTAGCGTTTAGCCCCGCTGACCAGGAGCTGCTGCTGTCTGCCAGCGATGACTCTACCATTAAGGTGTGGCGCTCGCCGCGCATGGTCCGCCTGGCGCAGACCCCCACCCGGCCGCCGAGGCCCCGCAGCCTCCTGTCGTCCTGGCTGAGCCGCAGCAAGAACTCAACATCTCCTAGCAGCATCAATGGAAAACCATGAGTCAGGTTGGGAAACACTAGCAGTGGGAGGGAGCGGGGGAGAGGAAGTTTGATCTTTTTCCTCTGTGGTGTGAATATATATATACACTCCATGTATATGTACAGTGTGGTTACAGTCAGTGGTTTTGCTTGAGCTCACGGTGTTGTGACACACAGCAGCGCTTGGCGTCTTACAGTGTAATTGGGGACGGGTCATGATGTGACTCAGGGTTAGACACAAGAGGGCGATGTTGCACCAGCAAAAGTACAGAAATCACCACTGACTCTGTTGAGAGGAGTGATATGAAGTGTTCTCACAGATAGAGATAGTGTAGACCTGACACCTAAATGCACAAGACAGGCATCCAAACATGTCCACCAAGAAGATGGTTTTTGTCTGTTTTTTCTCTGTAACGTTTGAGTCTGAATGGGTCAGACACAGGACTCCTGGACCTGAGGTGTAAATCTGTGTAAATGTTCTGCAGAGATGGGACCCATGATCGCAGTGCTCATGTCCTGGTCTTCGGAGGCAAAGTGCTGTAACTGAAGAATTATTTCAGAAAATGTCTTACTAATGGATATGTCCAATTGATGTCTTGAGTGTAAACACATCATAAACCCTGTTTTCGGAGATTTATAAAACCATTCAAAACCAAAAGGGAAGATGACCTTTAGCTGCATTTACTGCAGTCTGCCTTGGTTTTTAATTACCCGTCCATCCCCCATCCCATTGCTTTTGTGCCCCGGAAATGATCGATTTCCTATCGAACGTAGCATTATTGAGTAATTTAATATAGAAGAGTTGTTGAAGAACAGTTGGCGTGAAGCATGACTGTGAGCAAAAAAAATATTGTTGTTTGTGTTAGTTAATTGTTATTTGGACCTATATTATGTAGACATGTATTTAAACACCTTTATTCATTTGTAGCACAAAGCTGCTCCCTTTCATTTTGTCAAAAGACTCGCGTCAGGATGAATCTCAGAAATGTATTTCTTCTGGAGTCTTTTTTAAAATAAAAAAAAATATATACATTATTTTCTCATCATTAAATGTGACAGAAGGTTTGTTTAGTCTTCAAGCAGAACTTTTGATGTCTAAAATTACTGCATATGAACAACATAGAGCCGTCTGGAATACAACTATAACTGTACACAGCTACCCTTTGGCCATTTTAATTCACAGTTAGCAAATTGTTCCTGTCTGTCAAAACAGAATCACCATCCTCCAAAATGTGTCCTGAGACGCAATCTTTCTTATTAAACTGTGCACATTAGATGCACTGTTGAACAACCAATGTTACATTACATATTTATATCCGTTATATCCACTTCAAGACAAATATTGCAGGTTTTGGTTAATGTAAGGAGGTTGAGGAGGTAATCATTTTTTAATATGGCCCAAGTTGTTGAGTTCACTAACTTAAAAATGAAATAAAAATAATATTCATTAAATACATTTGGTAAATTGTTTTTTATTAAATTTGTAATTCTGTTGAAAGAACAGATTGTCTTAGAATAGAACAGCCAACAATGCAACAATACAGTACAAAGTGCACAATGAGCTCGGAAGTGCAGCAAACTTCCTGCCGCCTATATTCAAATGCCCAATAAACACACGTGTGTTTTTGCATCCACAGTCTTTAAGTGTTTGTGTGTGCAGTGGTTAGCCCCTTACTTTCTTTACTAGTTTTATCGTTCAAGAGCCGGTCTAAAAAAAACAAAACAAAACAAAACAAAAAGTAACACATAACAAATGAACCCTGACACTACATTTCAGTTGCAGTTTAACGAGTGAGGTTTAGGTACTTTACCTGGTAGATGTTTGTGTTTCCCTGCTGTAGATGAGACGGATTCTACACATTAATCAGGATTATGGGGTTTTCGTGTTACCTGAACTGTCTGGTTGCGTTTGTCATATTTTCTTGAAACGTGTGTCAATTAGTCAGTTCGCCAGCTGAGTCTTGCCACCAGTTGAACAGTATTTTCCCTGTTTTGGAATATGTGTAATAAGTCATGAACTTTCTCCGTGGTTCCCTTTGACAGTCTTCTTAACTGTAGCTCCCTGTTCCCTGTCCTCTAATGTTATTTTCATACTTCCCTGAAATAAAAAGCATGCCCTGAAAGGCCAGAAGTCTGCAAAAGTGTCAAGATTAATATTCTGTTCTACTAACAAGTGTCGTCCACAACCTTTGCCCAAAAACAAGAGCACTGGGCAGAGCTTTCTAACCATGCTAACGGCTCTGTGAGGCTGCAATGAGACAAGGCGGTACTTAAGAAGCTAAATGCTAACACCAGCATGTTAACATGCTTAAAATGACGATGCTAACATGTTGATGTTTAACAGGCAGAGTTCACCATGTTCATTAACTTAGTTTAGCATTTGGTAATTGGCACAGAGGTATACAGTGGAGGATCATGGGAATAGTATTACTGTAGTTTTGCATTATGATTCAATCCCTTCAGGAAGTTGTAATGTTGCAACAATTTATATTCACATATTCAACCTGTCCCTGTGAATTCTGCATGAACCTACAACTTTGTCCAGTCAGCGCAACTTTTTGCGAATTTGACCAAATCGTAGTTTCCCACGCAAAACAGTGAGCCGCTGTACTGACTGCCTTGTTTCTGGTTGAGAATATGCAGACGTGTGCGGTGTGAATGTCTCATGTTTTCCCTCAGAAACCTGAGCGTTATTTTTGTAAAGTTACTTGGAACACTCATAACACTTTTAGCTAGTTTAGCAATTTTCGCTTTCTCTCACAATTTTATTGCAAAGAAGAAATTTCAGCATGCATCGTAATTTTCAGAAAAAGGTGCCGTGGAAATCAGGCGAAATCCAGGACGGACTAATTATTTTCATTATCACTATCATCTGCGAGTGATTAGTCCTTGATGAATGATTTCTTGATAAATTGTTTGGATTATAAAGTATCCGAAGATAGTGAGAAATACTCATTTCCAGACATTTCCAGTTTACTGTCACACAAAACAGACAACGTATTCCTCACAAATGAGAAGCTCTAACGAGGGAACGAGGGCATTATTGCTTTAAAAAAAAAAATTACTCAACTGATTTCCAAATAGCTGCTCATGAGTTTTCTGTCTATAGACTGATTGACTAGTTGTTGGACAAGTATTGAACAAATTGAAAGTTTGACCTGATGATGGCGCTAGAGCGAATAGAAAATAAAAAGCTTTAAAAGAACTAGTAAGTGGACCTGGAAGTTTTTTGGGATGTTTTTTCATCAGACCTCACACACACTCATTGTTAATTTGATCAAAACCCACAGGCCACATAAGAGAATGGGCTTTTATGATAAATTTTGCCCTTAAAAAAAAAATAACCTCAGTGTTCAGACAGAAACTAACAGGGTTTTTCCATCTGTCTGCTTGAGGCGTGCTGTGCAAAACTGAGCCGTGAAGACATTTCCCATATGCAGGATGGTTGTGGGTAGCACAAAGAATAATGCGGCAACACATCTTAACGGCCACACTTCCATGCTGAGTCATCAAAAAAGTGGAGGGTTTTATTTACTTGAAAATATTGTGTCTGCGGTGATAATGCGGTGATTAAAGTCAACAATGTTACTCCTGTTCATTTAAAGGCCCGGTGAGTCTATCGGCAGAAATGGAATGTAATATTCATAGCTAAGTTTTCTTTAATGTGTCATCTGAAAATACACCTCATTTCTGTTCCCTTATGATGAGCCATGTTGACCCGCCTTGTTTCTACAATAGCCCAGAACAGACCAACTAAACACTGGCTCTAAATAGGGCTCTTTGTGGCCACCGTAGTTTTGCATTTGGTTGAGTCATTTCACGAGAAAACAAATAAAAATGTCAACCTCATGGTGGTGCTAGAGGAGGTCACTTAGGCTTCATCATCTTGGGACCATGAATGTCAACATCAATGGCGCCCAGTAGTTGTGAAATAAATCAGTCTGGACTAAAGTGGTGGACAGACAGACTGATACATCAGCTGGGGACCAATACTTTAGTTTATGATGATATCTGAACAACTAATGACAGTTTTGTGCTAATTAACAAATGTTACCATGATGACACGTTAAACTAAGATGATGATCGTGGTAAATATTATACCTGCTAAACATGGTAGCAGGTTGATGTTAGCATTTAGCTGAAAGCATAGCTCCTAACATGCCTGTAGACTCTTATTAGTCTTGTTTTGACTTTGACCTGACACTGTAGTGACATCTTAACACCCATCATGCATTTCAAAGGTCCTTTGTATCGGTCCTGAAAAGGTTATTTTTGAGTTCGACTGAGCTATGATCATGTAATTTGATCTTAACTCTTGGCATGTAGTCGAGGGAAATACAAGCGATCGTTAGTTGGATCTGGATGTTTGAACCTGATATACGATATATTGCGTCACTCAGTCCCACGGGGTCTGTGTGTGAGGGGGTTATAAAGCAACTAAGAAGGAAACTGACATGCACTCTCGTTTCAGTCTCAGTAATGTGCACCTTCCCTGACACTCTTAGAAAAGCCAGAGACAACTGTGTCCACTGGATGAGTCAAATACCAAAAGCACTGCATTAAACATTTCCCATAATGCAACCGACAGCGTCTTTTTATTAGATGCACCCTGCCTGGTAACTGCCCCCATACTTAAACTTAATAAAACTCCAGAACAACACGTAATTGTTTTCATAGGCTGAGTAGTTGCCCTTCGTAACAAAACTGACCTACGTGGAGTTCCCCTTTTATAGATTTTTAAATATAATGTTTTGGGAAATGACTCCAGCCAACACAGGCGGTAGAAACATAAAACAGAGGAAAAGTACATCATGTCCACCACAACCTGTCAACAGAAAACAGAACACACCAGTAACCAGGTTAGCCAACAGCCTGATAGGCAGCTTCGTGGCAATGGTTTAGCATGTGGTTGTTATTTTTGTCTGCAGATTGCAGATGGTGTAAACAGTCCCAGTTGCTACAGGTGGTTGATAAACTGATACGTCCCACTGTACCAGAAAGCACCAGAGAACCACATAAGATCGCCTACAGTGGCCCACAGGGGAAAGTTGTCTCATTCACATGCAACTTTTTGAGAACATCACAAGATAAATATCAGCACGGTGAACTCCAATAGATACTGCAACTCTCTGTAATTTATGACGTAAGCACAATTGTTATTGCTGATCCTCACTTGATGATGTCAACATATAGGGTAGATATGGTAATGGTTGTTTATAATAAAGCCCATCTATACTAAGGGTGCATCTTTAATCAAATTATTATCGAGGTACGGCTAAGTACAATATCCAAATCACAGAACCTGCAATTATTTCATAAAGGTAAAATGTGTGACAAAACAGCATCATAATAAAGTACTGTAGTGCTGCAGAGACAACAAGCAAATCTTGTTCTCTGAATGTATGCATTTGGTCCAGAACCCAATAAATGTCAGATCAGGATTTTAATCATTTTCTTTCAGTGAAACTGGAAATTGTGACGCTAAAACGCTCATTCCCACTACTCGTAAATCCTATTGCAATGTCTATCAAATTAAACAATAATATTTAAATGTTTTGTCGCCGTATTGTGCAGCCCTAGTGTGTACTATGACCGTAATCTAAGTTTTGCTTCATCTACAGGTAGAGTAGTGGATATAGTTTCTCTGTGTAGGGCTGAATCTAAGGATTATTGTCATTATTCCGATATTTTCTTGTTTAATCAATTGTTTGGCCCAAGGTGAAGTATGCAATTCTTTATTATAATGACAATGCACAAAAGTTACTCCAGAATACTTTTCATCAAAAACTCAAAGTTGGCTTTTACATTTTAATGTTGTACCTCATTCAGGTATATATATTTACTATAAACAAAGTAAACAAAGATTGTACAAACAATGTCACAATTGTCTCAATAGTTTTTTTATTTCTACATTTCAAAGATAATAAATCTTCAACGAAGGGTGATTATGATAGAAGTACTTCATACATGTATAATCAAAAACTACACCAAAGTATTATTAGTATAAAGGATATAACTATTACTGGTAATAATGTATACTGAAAGATGGATATAATAAATAGGGAATATTAGTTATGAAGATTATATGTTAAGTGGGAGGTATAAATGTATAAGTTTTTGTTTTGCAATATTAAACTGCTATACTTTCTATTAATTAAACTCCAGTCTTGTATTGGTGGTCAATGTAAGGCCTTTTTTTTTTAAGCGCATTCCCTAGGTTACTCAGTAAGTTCGAGCTAATAGGTCAACACTCATTTAGCAAACAAATACTCATATAGACAAACGTACGTGCTGGGTTACACTACGACACTAGAGGTGACGATTGATGATAAAAGGTTGCATGCTATATCTACTTTTAACATTAAAGTACTGTTGTTAATTCATCTTTAATTAGAGTGAACATATTTGTACTATACTGAGACTGATGTGAAGAACCACACAATGCAAAGCTGACTATGGAGTATTATTATTATTATTATAGTATATATACACAGTATATATATATATATCTATATTTGATATAAATATTAGTTATTTATAAGATTTAATTTGAATGCCAGGAGTGCCACATTATGATAATTGAGACCCGCTTTTATCATTAAAGAGATATTTCATTGTTGTAACTAAAACTCTCTTATTGTTTTAAGCACGTCTCCCTAACGCCTGCTGTATATATTTTTGTATATGTGGTTGAAGTACTGCTTAAAGTCTTTAATATACAAGACATTAACAAAATAACAGAAATGGCTAAACTTATATGAAGCATACGACATGGCAGTGTCTCCTTCCATTGGCTCTTATAAGTCACATTGATTTATTCACTAAAGATGGATGTCCATAACCATTATAGATCCACCGCCATGATTGTTATTTTACACGCCCTTGTATATCCGTCATAATGTGACACTCCCAAGAAAATCTTGTTGACATTCTTAACGTATAGTGTAGATATATTATAATATATTTAACAATATAGTTGTATATATATATATATATATAATTATTAATTCTTATTATTCCTATTATTGTTGTGTATATTCTTTGCTATTGTTGTAGTTTGTTGATGCTTTGGTGTAACTTCCACAGTCCACACCCTATAAGCCTGTGAGATCTACAATGGCTTTGATGAAAATTGTATCATCTCTGAGATAAGGGCTCTTGCCGGCCAGTTTAGCCAGCGGACAGAAGAGCGGGCAGCCACTGGCGATGTTCATCTCACTGATCGGCCGCTGAAAGGAGGTGGAGGTGACATCAGGGCGGAAAGCATCGATAATGTGCTCCCTGTTGTTCTGATCCAAGAGCATTAGAGTCACCTGGAGAAAGAGGTGGAGAAGAGGAGAGTTGGTTTTGTGCCATTTATTGTGGTGACGGTGGATTAAAATGGGTGGAAAAGATGGTTTATGAGTCTTCCTACCTTCTGACTGAATGGCCATTTGAGCAGTGCGTCGCACTTGCCCCTCATGACAACAAAGAAGAGCGACAGGTGTGTTCCTCGCCCCGTCCCATCGCCGTTCAAATAGAGCCTCAGACACATTTTGTATCCGTATTTGCTGGAGTAAAATGCTGCGAGGGAGAAACAGAAGAACCCAGAATGTAAAACAAGAGCCAAAAAAACAATGTCATGTGAGAATGGGAGTGACAAAAAGACTCCCTGAAGGAAAACAAGGGTGTATTGAAGTGGAATTTCCCTTGACTACACGCCAAATAACCTTTCAGGACAGACACAAAGCAGCTTTGAAATGCATGATGGGTGGTGAATATGTCTTTCATCTCACCTGGAGAGAACATTGCAGGTGTTCGACCAGCCACGGCATCCTGCCTGCGGCGTGAGAAGTCGGAGATTTTCCAGACAAATATCCCGTCGTAGGTGCACAATTGCAGTTCTCGCACCAGCTGTTCGGTTTCAGACAGCTGCAAGTCTCTCATCGTGACTGTTCGCTCTAGCTGACGCACTTTGTTGGAGAGGTTTTCGATTTTTTCCTGGTCTAAACGATGTTGATGCGAGAAAGCCTCCATCGTGACTGAACTGCGCTCCACCTCTCGGTTCAGGACGCACACAATGTTTTCTAAAGCATTTACCTGTCAAAGAAAATAAGAAGCAATGAACAGATTTAGATTCTCATTCAAAACCTATGAATGTTAGTGGTTAACAAAGAGAATATAATCCATTTGAGACTCACCTTTTTTTCCAAGTCCACAGACTGCACGGAGGCTGCAGCTCCGGCGCCCACAGGGACTCCCTCCTCAGGAGCCCTGTACAGGCCCAGACCAGAGTCCTCCTGCCACTCTCCGGGACCAGAAGCGTCAGCGCGTGTCTGAACCATGGACAGCACCATGGGCAGCAGCAGACGCAAGTGCTCCATGGTGCTGCTGTGCTCATGGTCGCTGAGCTTCCCGTTCTCTATCTGAGAAACACAATAGAACTTATTTAGCTGCTATTGTAAGTCGGACCAAACTGAAAACCTTCAAGTGATGAACTGAGCTGTAGTGCTTGGTGGATTAAGTTTTGAGGGTTGTAAAGTTGGGTCTTTCTGTTTCGGTGAGGATACGTTTATAATAATAATCATAAATTTTTTTGTAGTCTGAAAGAGCCAAAACAATAGAATATTTTTCATTTATTCACAAAAAAATCTACCAATTGTTGGATTTTTATGTTAACAGATAACATAAACAATCTGGTTTGGAATCTTAACAACTGCATTAATATTAACAAATAGAACATTAATTATTCAAAACTATAAAAGCAACAATTTAAAAATTAATTACTAATCTAAACTGCTTCATCGGGACCTTGTGGAAACACTGTATTTATACTGTCAATGGTGGAAACATATGAAAACAACCACTCAACTCAACTGTCATCAGATTTTGATTTGAATGTTGCTCAACCCTGATTGGTACTGGGACGTATGTGACATCACTGTTTTTAAATGAGCCCCGCCCATTTTATACCAATCAGAAGAGCTCAGACAAAAACAGCCCAGAGAGAAATCTCTAATGTGAAGAAAGTAATGTGTTCATGTACGACCCCAGTGATCATGGTAAGAAGCTAATTGATCAAATACGTTTTCAGTGCCTATAAATTATTTTGACCAAGATATGGACGGAGTGGGACATTTAACAGTTAAAAAAAATAACCTTGTCATTGCTCTCTGGTGAAATTATTATGTAATGGCAACCCAGTGTTAAATTATTAATTTAAATATCTAAATTACTACTACTATTATTTCTGCACAGCTAATTCTTAATATTTCATACATTACCTGTACGCTGATAGGATCAATCTGTGATAAGCTAAAACTGTCTGATAATATCAGCCACGCTGATGTACTGGTCGGCTTTGACTGTGAAGACATTTTTCTTTCTTATCGAGAGTTAAAAGAAAAGATTGACATCATTCACATGCCGGTAGGCTAAATATAAAGCTAACAGCAGCATGGCATTTAACTTAACTTAGTATAAAGGCTGAAACAGCTAGCCTAGCTCTCTCCAAAGGTAAAAAAAATATAAAGCTCACTAGATAACGTATTATATCTTGCTTGGGAGGTGTTACATGCCACACTATTTTTAGTTCTATTTTCACAGGTTGTAGTATAAAGATTTTGTTACCTACTACAGCCAGTTGTTTATCCTTGACTCCTGTCTCTATGCCAAGCTAACTGTCTCCTGACTGCATATTTGAAATACACTGAAAACAACACATCTTCCAACATAGTTTCAACAAGTTCGATTTCGGTACATACCACCGATTTACAGCCCACTTCACTGAATGGACAGGCACTCTTTGACTTGGCACAGGACCTGCTGTGGTCATTGAACTGAAAGTAGAAAGGACAAAAAAAGAAAATAAAGAATTAGTGGACCAGCTCCAAAAGATTGTATCAACTTAAACAGAAAAGTGAAGTACTGGAAAGTTTTCTAACAGTGGTCAGAACTCAGACTTCTAGTTTAATGATACATTTATAGTAACTTGTATGTTCTGTGGTTTGTGTTTTGTATGATCTTCTGCATGCATTCCGGGGAATTCAGGGTAAGGTGTTGCATATTTGCTTAGGCTGTAAATGCTATATTCAGTGAATATTCTATGCTTAGGTAGAACTTAAGATAGTCCCTTTTATAGTTTTATTTTAAGTCACAGTAAAACACCTAAGAGCCTTTATTCGGAGAGGAAAAGCAAAAAATCACAGAGATTAATATGGAAAATTTAAAGGGTAAATTGAGGAACAGCTCAAACCTTTTCTCTTGGGATCTTCTTCTTCCCACAGTCCTTGCATTGTAAGGGAAACTTCAGACAGATCTCATCATGGGCCTAAAATACACCACAAAAGGAGTATGAGAATAAGGGCCCATTTATGCAGACACAACCAGCAACTGCTTTACACTGCTTCTATATCTCACCTTGATGTCTTTAAAGTTGAAGGTCATTTTGCAGTATTTACAGTTCAGGGTTCTTGCTTCACATTCTCTCTCATTATGTCTGTCCTTCTCCGTGCGAAGGATCGAGGTATGGCAGGCCTCGCACTGTATCCTTTCGAACTCACAGCGACCTTCATGCTGAGCCTAAAAAAAAAAAAAAAAGGGAGGACAGATGTTTTATGATTGCTGCATTCATCCATTTAGAGCAGGTGTGTCTGGTATTCATTGTTAGGATATAAGCAAAGAAAGACAGTTGCGTTTTATGGCATTAGAGCCTATTTGCATGCATAGGATGTCATTTAAATGGTAGATGATAAAAAAGGGGTCATATAAAATCTTATGACTTTTATAGAAATGTCACACCCTTGTTAATTATTTCTCAAAACAAAAGTTGTAACTGCCAGACACACCTGTGAATGTCTGCGGGCTGTACTGACAACGTGGAAAAACAAGCTGTTCTTTTACACAACCATTCATCTGCTTTATCTCCGTTGCATAAAAAAAGCAGGTGACAACAAAGTTATTTAATTACAAAAGTGACATTAAGTAGTTTTGATTATGTAACTATATAATTATTGATGCAATTTTTCCCCCAGTAACAAGTTAGGGTAAATTACACAAAAACACAAATAGCAGACTATAGAAGTGAGATAAAAAAAATAGGAAGTTAGTGGTCGCAGAGAAAAAAAAACAACAGAAGTAAAATAAATACAGAAATAAATAAAGTGGAAGTACAAAAATACATTACTGAAAAAAAAAAGTATAGCAGCTGTAAAGATAAAGTAACACCCCACCTTCCCCCCATAATAAAAATACTAATATCTTTTTAAAAAAGAACCGGGAAACAATTTGGGCGGAGTCAATTGCGAGGTGGAGTTTTTCAACCTGGAAGTTATTTACTTTCACAATGACTACCAACAGCACGCATGGATCCACAGAACAGGATTAGCAGGTAGGTTAGCCTGTTTTTCGCTTTGACTGCTCACTCTTACACGCTACGCCAGCAGATCACAAACCGAATAACCAAGCTAAATATGAATCATTTTTCCAGACAAATCCCTGCCCTTACCACACCGTCCAAGACCTATTCGTAAGACCTATTTTTGGGTGTGAATGGCTAGCTAACGACTAGCGCGGATCTTCCTACACAACAATGACTAAGCCGGCAACCCACAGAACGGGTGGGATGTCGCACAGCATAGTAATCATTTCTCGAATGCTGAAATAAAACTATAGCAAAGTTTGAGCCCAAAAGCAAGCATGTGATTCTTCTTCAGAAGAAGTTTTATGAGCAAGCTAACCAGACGGAACCACATTTGCAAAACATGCAAAATAATCTCCAGCATCAGCCTTGTGTGCTCATTTTCCTGCCATCACGTCAGTTTCACATATCCTGGTATGAGGTGACGGTTAAGTAAAACCACAAACAGACAAGAAACACAACAAACATCCTTTGCACAGACTTATAATCAGGAAATCTCTTTACTAAACAACCTTGCCCCAACACGTAGATATTTACAGTAGAAACAGAACTAGTAGACAGACAACGCTCAGGCAAACATAAGAACAGCTTTTGTGATTCTGATGGGGCTTTAATGTTACTATAAAAATCACAGTTTGTCTGAAGAGCTTGGTTCATTGTCTAAATCCATTCCTGTTTCTGCATGTCTGCATGAAAATTCACCAGTTCCCTTGTGAACTAGTAAAAGTAAATCTAGAAAAAAAGTCAGTTTCATTACCGTGTAATGGTCAACTAACCATAATCAGCAGTCATGCTAATCTCAAGTTAAAAGCCCTTTTATATCCCGGTACTTTCCCACTGAGTTGTTGTTGCTAACACAGGGACTTTCCAAGGCAGCATGTTAGGTTTCACTTCCTGTTCCCCACTGCGCATGCAACAACCACATTCATAATGTGAGCACTAAGGCCTGAAGAGAAAAACAAGTATGGATTGTAGAATATGTACACTATGTACTGATGGTTTAGAAAGATTGAAAAAAAATACCATACTTACAGTACTGTTTTAGGTGTGGTAAACTGACATGTGGTTAATATATGGCAGAATGGGACACACACACACTCAAGTACAAAAGCAGTGAACACACACACACATACACACCCACGAACTGAACTTTATACTTTACCTCATACTCTTTTATGGATCCTGTCCAATTACAGCCCTGGTTCAAACACCTGGCAGGCAGACTCGCTATTTCTCGACCTGCAGCATTGTCTGGAAATGCCTGGTCAAAGAGCAAAGAACACAGTTCAGTGAGCTCATAAAGCCACAAATTATAATAGCAAACAGACATAAAAGGGTTGTAGTGTATGTCTGTAGTGGAGGAAACCAGTCAGACTGTAGTCATATATTACTCTTTGAAACAGAGTGGGGGTGAAGAATGGTATACAGATAGGGAGGATGTGTCATAAAATAACAATGTTGGCTGGAAACAAAATACTTCATAACTTACCTCATTACTATTTAGAATGGAAATGGGTTCCTCATATATCTCTTCTTGGCGGCAGGCTTCACATGGTTTTGGGCCAGAACTAACAAACAAAACAGGTTTGTGAAAAAAAAAAACAAAAAACAAAAAACAAAACCCTGCTGGTTGGCAGTAAAAGTCAGCAACAATTTCCTGCTGATCCATTACTACCAACAACTGCTGACCAGTATGGACTGCAGCTCAGGTAGATGAATCAGTAATCAATACAACAGCAGCAGAAAAAAAAAAGCTTGTAGCTCTATGTGAATGCTGAAATGTGTAACCTCGATAAGGTGTGTGAAATTCACGAGGAAATGTATTAGCTTTTGCAAAGGTTGAGGGCAAATATATGAATAACACACATGCACACAAACAAAGAGAACATGTGAATCTATCACTATGACATGATGAAATTGTATAGACAGCAGGGTTTTTTTTAAAACAGGTCACATGTAATGACCTTTTCAAAACACTAATTTCACTTGTGGATTGTGTAAAGGTTAAAGTTTACTACATGTGAAACTGCATTTCACATGTAACGAAATCCACATGACACAGGCACTTGGTGGTTTTCAGACCAGGTGAAAGTGAAATGTGAAAAATACACACAAGTGCTCTTTGGTGTTTGTTGGTGGAAGATTAGCAAAATGAGACTCCATTACATACATGTTATATAGAGTTAGTTTAATATATTTTGAAGTATAATTCCCTCTACTGTGCCCTTATGATTAATGATACTGCCAAAGTATCACTAGACATAAGGTGACACACCAATGTATTCGTAATGCATTCACACTGCATTCATGAACAACCAGTGAGTCAGTGAAAAAGAAGTGGAAAAGAAAACAATGGACACCTTTAGAATGAGTCAGCATGGTCAGATCCTTGTCAGTCACTGACCCCATTAGATTCCAGTCATGTGAGGGATGAGTTTGCATAAAGTAATTGATCTTGAGTGCATAAAAAAATTCCCAGAGGCGAGCAAGAGATAAGAACACAGGATGTGCTGAAGCATGTCCGACAAGAGGGTAAGCATTAGGGGGTGAAGGGGTTTGCATTTCACACGGTTGTTGGTGGTCTGAGGACCTCCAGTCTACCTGGTGAGCTGCTTGAAGCAGTGTACACAGAAGCGGTGGCCGCACTGAGCCTGGACAGGCTTCCTCAGGACCAGGAGACACTGCTGACATTTGTATTTATTCTCCATGGGCACTGACAGTACACTGAGGGGGATCCCTGGTAAAGAGTTTGCACAGTCCAACGAAATTCGGGCCATTCTTCTCCATCAATCTGGTGCTATATCCTGTGAATGAACACCAAAGAAAACAGCTCTCAACCAAACAAGAAGTTTGAACAAACTTTCACAATACTTGTGCAACAGGAAAAAGCCAGTATACCAGTGCCAAGGTTTTGTTTTTCCCATGTCATATATAATAACAAATAATTAGGTACTGAACATTTCTGACATACCGGTACATCAGAGTGTAACTCTACTGTCAATGTCAGCACATGTGTTCTGTACTTAAGCCTTTGAGCAAATAATTGTACAGTGAGTATAAGGCTGATTCATCATTATGAAACTGTGAGTCTGCCAGTTTAACCATGTTAAGTTTGACTGTAAAATATAAAATGTGTTTTATATTTTATAGCCAAATGTTGCAGGCATCTTCCAGTAAAATACAATGGTTGGTCGTAATACCTAGTTTGTATGATATTCAAAAATATGTAAATTCGTCAAGGCTACATTGGAACCTGTGAACGACTTGCTTTCCCAAAACCTTGCCTTAGATATGAAACTGATATGAGATACATGTGAAGTGTTTCTAGCTGTTATCGGCAATATCTTGTACCAAGGAAAAAAGAAATATCTATGAGAAAGATACTCATCTGTCAGGTAACTGACAAACTGGTGACAGAATTATTATTACTTGCTCAGATAAACATGGTTAGTTCTAACCGGTTAGAGCAGAAGTTCTGCAGAGAAAAAATTGCTCATGTTAAGACAGCTTTCGCAATATCTGTTATTTCACAGAAAACTGAAGATGGTTTTAAGTCTCATCTACACTTCCAAAATACTGGGGGTCCAGAAAAGGTTTAATTTTAACACAATGCACAATGGATCAAATTTGGTTGTGGTCACAATATCTTTAATAAAATCCTTTCTGTGGCATCCGAAAAGCAACTTTAAGCAACTGTGTTTACGAGAATATTCCTTCCTTTGTTGCCATCTAGTGGAAGTATCACGAAGGGTACTGAAGACGGTGAGCTGTCACTGATCATTTCACACATTCAGTGCAGTCAGTACAGGTATATGGAGTGGCTGTTGTCTTTATCATGCAATTAAAAGGGTTGGGAGAGCAAATCTATCAATAATGCAATGAAAAGGGTTTTCTTTTGCAAACCCAAAGCTTTTGAGTGCTATTGAGCTGAATCTTGTGGGCACCTGAGCGGGAACAACACAGAAAGATGCCAAACACATCTCTATTGGTTTTCTCTTCTATTTAGGTTTTCCTTTCAGTTAGACAATGTTACCTAAGTACACTTAATGCTAAGTTCTAGGAGGAACTCCTGCATCTTTTACGGTAGAAAAGCAGTGTTGCACTGACCCCTACAGGTCTGCAATGGTAGCAGTAAATGCAATAGTGGATTTAATCTGTAATGAGCACATGATTTATCGTTGAAAAGTCCCTTATGGGAAAATAAGTGGGATTGTTTTTGCTATATGAGATGTCATGCTGTCATCTTATACTAACATATTCCAACACGCCCAGAGCAAATACTTCTTTAGTGAATGTGCACACTCCTGGCTGGGTTTAGTTTTACACACAGCTGCAGAAAGTTGTATAATATGTATGTGCATGCAAGTATAGTATGTCAACACATAGTTCATGCATCAGAGGGAATTCTGCAAAGAATATGAGCAGATTGCAACTTTGCATGTCGTGACATGAGTATATCACATATGAAATCTTCCCTGCTTGTCTGCAATAGGCTTACGGTTTCATAATAATATGAGGTTTATCTGGTTTAAACTCTACACAGTACACAAGCCCAATAGCTTTGAGCAGTTTCTCCACCTATTCATTTGCTTGAGACAAAGCAGATCTTTGATCAGTGTCAATCAAAATGCCACTGGCAAAAACACACACGTTTCATCTCAGCCTTTTCCTAAAAATGGGGAAAACCTAACAAAGCTACCCCTGTTTACACTACGTGGAGATGCAGTAAATATTTTCTACCCACATTGCAGGGTTTAGTTACAAAACACTATTTATCCTGTACAAGCTGACTGGGGGAAATTTATGGAAATCTTCTATGTAAAAAAAGCCAGCTATGCAAATGTTAGCAGCCTTTGTGATAAGGCTGAGATGGGCTTACTCATTGTGCTTTTACTGGTCATGAGAGTCAACTTTTTGTTGACATGGCTTAAAAATCTAAATCGTCTTTTTGATGAACTCAGGTTAAGCTACGTCTCAGACGCAGGAAATCTTTTGTAAGATCTCTGTAGAGAAGTGAGATTAAAAGTGGCAGATACATGAAACTAGCAAACTGTTACTGTGCCTTGCAAGCTCATCTCAGTAACCATATGAACACTGAAACCCACTAAACAGGACACACTCTAACCTCTAGTATTCATTATGATCTATACAAAATGACTTATATAAATCTCATGATCAGAAGATTAATATCTAGAGCACCTGAGCACTAGTTCTCATGCTCATCATGAGACTTCTACTGTCACAAGTGACAACATATGACCAGCAATGCATTGGCAAGCTACAAACAATATCATCTTCCAAGTAACATTAATACTTCAAGGAATTTTTTCAATTTGATTCAATAAACATTTAAAAGCTGTTGTGCTAACATAAGGTTGTTAGCTAGATCTATGACATTAGAATTTTAACTCTGTGTAAAACATAATATTTTAACAAATTCTTATCCATTACTGACATTTTGTTAGCCTTTCTAAGAAGACAAAGTAATGTTAATTTTTGTATGAGTTTGTCAAAAGATATTGCTTAATCTTCCCTACCACATGGAGAGTGGAACAGCACGTTCTACATAAATGATTAGTAATCACTCAGTTGTCTTGTTTCACCAGAGATTACTTCATATCAACTTCAGAAGAAACCCCATTTAAGGCAAGAAATATTTCACATTACATTTCTTAGAAAAACCTCACTGCTGCTTATCAGCGGGACGTCACAGCATCACTCCCTGTCATAATTCTCAGAAAGTCTGCAACACATTTAAACTGCACACTTAAATGTGTTCACTGTTACGAAAGGTGCAGTGGTATACCCATTATGATCTTTCACAATCACTGAGTAATAAAACAGGTATAATATGATTCAATAAGCTGGGACAGGTAAGCACTGGTAAAACACTGTTGAATGACATGAAAGACACCCTTTCAGCGAACAACGAACCAAGCCTTAACTAAGTGCAAGCACACACCGAGGCTGGTGTTTAGCTTGTGTGTCCATAGAAACCTTCAGAGGGTGGCAAATAAAAATCCAGTGAAAACAATCATTAAAGCAGACAATCTCATGTAGAAACCATATGCTGGTTTCACTTTGTGAGACACTATACTCCACCACCATCCTGAAAAGACCAATAAGCAGACCTAAATCTTTGTACAGTGTGGCTGAAAATGTCAGAAACATGAGCACAAAGAACATGCAAGCAGCCATGCACTAACTACACTTTAACTAAGCTGTGATAAAACATTTACTTCTTGAATTGTGTCCAGTTACAGCTGTCTAAAGTTAGTGTAAACAATCGTGTCTGTGGAAGAACTATCACCAACACCAATAGCTGCTCTCTGAATTAAAACTTAACAACTAAAGCACAAACAAACCCCTTTAGTATCCCCTTTTTTTTTGTCTCAAACAACTGTCCCTGACTGCCTTTTTTAAAGCTGACAGGGCGCCCAATAGCTCGCCCTATCCGTTCGCCATGTTCTTGGTCCGTGTATCTCTTTTTTGCTCCAAACAAGCGGTTTCTAGACTCTGAACCCACCCTGCGACCTGTACTGAAACTACAACATAATCTTCACTCACCTACCTTGAAAACCCTCCTGCTCGAGTTATAAGGCGTACGTATTTCATACCAGAGTATTTCATACCCCGGTATAGTTATATCCCGGTAGTTACACCCACTCACACACACACTCACACACACACACGTCAGCAAGTGAGGCTATATTACACACCACAGGCAACTCCATGACTCAGAGGCAGTGTGGCTATCTTATGGTCAATTAGTCTGTGAATAACTTCTGTAGTTTTTAATAACTAACTTTGCAGTTTGAGTTATAGGCTAAAACATGATTTAATGGCGTAACCAAACACTTTACTTCTTGATAAGATACACAACTTTAGGCAAGCTAACTAAAAAAAAGGCTAAAGTAAAGGCAGTGTTTGACTAACTGACAACTACGTTTTGTTTTTATTTTTAAACTAACGTTAAGTCGGTTAGCTAACTATCAAGCTGGTCACTTGACAAGCAGAAGCACCAGCTCAGCTAACTAACCTTGGCGTCTGGAGTGTGTCTCTGTCGGACAGAAAACGAAACCGTTTTGTTGTCCGCACTAGCCTGAGAAGGACAGCTCAACCTTTAGCTGTTTACAATCTGCACTACCACACTACATTCGTTCATTCGTTATAGGGCAGCTGGCGAGAACGGAGCCATCTCTCTACTACACAGTGCATTCGGCTTGACCAAACACCGCCCGTCCGCCGGGGTAGAAAGGTAGCGAAGCTGGTCCGCGCATGCGTGTACGCGTCCACAATGTCGCTGTGTGCGGTTAAAGGTTTCCAACGGTTAAGACAGCGTCAGTGCGTATTGATCTCCAAAGGTATGAGTTTCCATAGGTGTCTTCTACTGCGTTATCTGGAAAAGCGAGAATACACCCACTGCTTTTTCTTTTTGGGGGGATATCTTTTTTAATGTCAAAGTCTCATTTAGTTAGCGTACACACACTGCCTCTGCTGTGGCTAACGTTAGCTGACTGAGCTACAATCAGATACACACCGCTAACGTCAATCTAACAATGGTTGTCTTGTCTGGTGGAAGATTTACCGGTATGTCAGGATATTAATGTCAAGTGTGTCAACTGAACGAGTAGGTGGATGTCATTGTGAATGTCCTTTTTAAAAGAAGTTGTTGACATAATATGAATGACTAAATTGAGCTTTAGTCATTTTTTAAGAGAGGCAATTGCAGGTTTCACCAATAAACTCCTGATCTTATTAATATAGAAAATAACAGCAGACATATTTCCTTTTTTTTTGTTTGTTTGTTTGTTTTCCAGAAAGCTGAAACTGCCATGACTTCATAAAGTGATTAATGCTCTGTGGGCTTTATGCAAATGATGTGATCGACAGCCACAATCTACCCACAGCAGGTTATTGCTCTGCTCATATGGTAGAATAACTTTCCCCAACTGACAGACAGATAACCTTTACACAAAAAGTTTGGGGAAGTGTGTGCTGTTCTTTATCAGTGAATTGCAGCTCATAATCACTTCCCTGAAAGAGAAAAAGCAAATGCTAGGGGGGGGGGGGGGGTTTATTAGGGGCTACTAATTATTGACAAGTTGCAACATAGTGTATAGTGAAAGTGAAACAATTCTGTAGTATGATCCCCAGGAGTAAATGCTTTCCTAATAACATCACTGACTAGTTGTTATTGTCGTGTGAGAGCAATTAAACAGCTGCATTATTAGACCATCTTGGTACAGTTATATAAGAAGTTCCCAATGTTGCTCCACCTTTGTCTCAGCAGTGTGTGTCCACCAGCTGCACAGTAGCCCCGGGTTTACAGACAGCTGCTATGATGGGCTGTATCCTGGACATATCCAAACCACCCCCATCCAGAAAGCCCTGTTGGCCGTCGGGTCAGGTGTGGCTGCACTACAAAATCCCTACAGACATGGTGAGACTCACACGTCAGCATGGAGCTCAGGCTGCATCACTGTTATTGTTTGTGCTGCTCTTTCTTTCCCTTTTCATTTCTTTCTTTTTCTTTTTGTTAAATAAATTAAATATGTCTTCTTATGGGGCGTCTGCTAGCTGCATACCATACAACTGCACCGCCCTTGTTTGACTCCAGGAAGTCAGACTACATTTCCTGCCTGTAATTAAATACGGCAAAATGCCAAAAAAGTCAAATGTGAGGACAGCTCTCCTGACAGGGTTGCAGGAGAAACCCCCTAATGTTCCAAACTTTGGAAATTCATTAAAATTTAATCGTAATTGTTTAACTGCTTCAAGGAGAATCTTTCATACATTGCAGCCCAGTGGAAATTGAACCATCACCCAAAAAAATACCAATCTAAAGGTTTACTTAGTAGTTTCTTTCTGAGCTTTTAGCCTTATTTGCAGATGGAGTTAGCTGATGAAGGCCATAAAATGTGGTTTAAATCTAAAAAGAAATGTAAGTAAGTAAGTCAATCTTGTGGGCGGCAGTTCCTCAGTCCACAGGGACTTGGCTTGGGAACCAGAGGGTGGCCGGCTCCCAAGTCCAGCACGGACATGGAGTGTGGACGGGTAGCTGGAGTGGTGCCAGTTCTCGTCCTGGGCACAGCACTGCAAAGCACTGAACCCCTAACTGCTCCCATCATGTCTATAAGCCCTGTGTGTGTGTGTGTGTGTGTGTGTGTGTGTGTGTGTGTGTGTGTGTGTGTGTGTGTGTGTGTGTGTGTGTGTGTGTGTGTGTATATATTTCAGGTCTGTGTGTAAAAAAAAAAAAAAAGATTGTGGATTAATAAAGTAAATCCTTTTTCTTCTTGATAAGAATATTTGGTCAAACTGATATTCCCATGGTGAGGAATGAACCTTCAGGCTCGATACAATGAAATTGCTTTACAACTGTTTCAGACCTGGATAGGTTACTCTGTTATTTGGTTTGTACATTGATTTGCTGTGGGATTTAATTATGTCAGACCTCTCTAGCAATGAATTCCAACTGAATAATAAAACATTTCCTTTATGACTACATTACGAGACAGAAACTTTGTGGTCTTATTGCAGTTTTTAGCAATAATCCATCTTTTATATGTATTTTTATTACATTGTATTTTGTTTTTATGAATAAACCAGCACAAGATGTGTTTTGTCTGTATCAACACGACAAGAACATGTCATCCTGTTTATCATTTTTCAGTCGAATGATACTGTGGGGGACTGTACCTGTGGTTCTTTTCTCTAGTACTATTAAAGTGCAGTTTCAGTACTAGTTTTAGTAGTAGATAAAGCTTGTATTCTCTGGAGACCTTTGTTACCGTATACGCTTAAAAAGTCTTAGAAACAGAAAATGAGAACAAATACGATGAAACTTTCAGGGAGGAAGAGAGCCCCAGCATCTGTCATGTGACTTTTAGTTTAGGGACAGCAGGTGTCTTTAAATGATGGCTCCTAATAACACAATGACAATACAGTGACGTCATTGAATTGAACTTTGTAATTTCTCCACATGCTGCTAATGCAGGTTTTCTGTTAAGGAATTCTTGTTTCCAAACCCAAACCGAGATAACTGATGAGATCACCAAACCATGACATTTTCAGACATTTTCTCAGACTTGAAAAATTTCCCTCAGAGCCACATAAGAGATTGAACAGCTGTTTTCCCAGGCCGAGAAGAATTCCCTGTGATGATTAAATCAGTGGTTTCCAACCTTTTTTCTTAAGGGAGCCCTTTTTATATCATTGCGTAAACTGACGACCCCTGATTGTCATATTTTATGGATATTTAATATTATATCTTATTCATAACAGTACAGAACAACTGATAAACTATACTTCTAACCCAAATAGAGAACCCAGTAACTGCAGGAAGTTTGTGTAAAACAAGCAATTTTGTTTCAGAGATCCATCAGAGATAAGTTTTCCTGATACTTTTAGGGAACTTATTATCCAATTCTCTGTCTGTATTGTGTATTTTGAATTTATACACACTTAACAGGCATATTTTTTGACAAATTTAGTGCCTTCTTCTCCCTGACATTTGGCCATTGTTGAATTAGCTCTTTGGATGTTTTAACTGTGTACTTTTCTAATGCAGAACAAGGTTGTATAGCTGAGAGTGAAGGCTCTGTGAATATATCTTGAGTTCATCTTCAAAGTTTAGATCCAAATTAATAATCTAAACTTTAAAACTAACAACAAGTAAAATGTTGATGATTTAGGTATACCGTGTATATTTTTTTAAGTTTTCTTGCATCCATTAACATCAAGAAGGCCTTGTGACCCCTTGTGAAGTTTTAGCGACCCCTAGTGGTGGTCCTGGCCCCCAGGTTGGGAACCAGAGAACTAAACTGACCCTTATGAGTTCCCCTTTAAATCGAGTATCTAAGTACATTTAAGCTACATTACACATAAGACGACCTGCACAAAGTCATAAAATATATAAGTATGAGAATCTTAAAGTTGAAATGTACGTTATTTTGAGGCAATTAATAATTAGTTTGTAGGTTTATCAGCATCAGATTGGAAAATATCTTTATTGTGTGCACATTTAATTACATTAAACTCTACCTACAGACATGGTTGCGGTGCTCGGCGAGACGACAGGACACCTAGCGTTGATAAATCTTAGGGACAGGATGAAAAATGATCCTGAAGGCTACACTATCCTAACGTGAGTCACAGTGACACGATTCAGTAACTTGTATTCGAATGTAGGCGCTTTTAAATAGCACTTTCTCAACTGTGGAAGAAGATTTGGTCTTACTTGTTATTTACTGGTTATTGCAGAGAAAGGCCCAGAATCCGTCTGTCTACGCTTGATCTGAGCAGGATGGCGTCACTGCCCGATGGCTCTTTTGGGAGAGAATACCTCCGTTTTCTGGAGGACAATGTGAGTGATCACTGATGTGTTGTAAATCTCCTTTCAAAGAAACATACTTACAGGCTTGGTTTCCAGATTTCATCAGACACAAATACCCAGAGTGCTCTCCTTTTTACGTTTTCTCTTTCATCTTGAGTCATGCTTTCCCTTTCCTTATCTGTCAGCATGTGACCCCTGACTCAAGGGCAGACGTGAAGTTTGTCGACAATGAGGAGCTAGCTTACGTCATGCAGAGATACAGAGAGGTCCACGATTTGCTGCACACGTTGCTGGGCATGCCGACCAACATGCTGGGTGAGTCATGGTCAGTCATTGTCAGTCATTACCCTTCAGACCAATGTCTTGCACAAATCTGGAATCTACAAAGTCAAATAATTTATTGCAGCTCGATAGCCAAGCAGCCATTCCTGTGAACCCAATAACTCAGGAACACCTCAATGGAATTTCTGCAAATATGGCACAAACGTCCATTTGGACTCAAAAATTATTTAGATTTTGGTGGTCAAACGTCAAGGTCACTGTCACTTCACAAAACACCTTTTTGGCTATCACACCATATTTCCCATTGGGTTGGACAATGAATTGGTGACTCAAAGGTGACCACAAAATGTCCTTGACAAACACTATTTAGTCAAAGCTCAAGAATATATAAATCAATCAATAATGACCATTTATATTCACTGGAATCATACATATGTATCAGCAATATAATGATTACTTCCATTAAGCCAAACAAATACACTTTATACTTTTTTTTATTCAATTCCTTCCAAGTATTCACCACTTGTGGATGTCAACTGCAACTTGATTGGTTGGTGGAGGCATACAACTATGGGGCGGTGATTCTGGCTTATAGTACAATCAGTAGTTCATGATGTGGCTAAGCAAGAATTACTGTGTGCATGGCAGACAAATGAAGCTGAAGGGAACACCTGCAGCAGAAACGTTTGACTGCTGACCGAACAATGAAATTCTCACCAGAACTTAATTGTGTCGCTTCCATGTTTTCCTTTCCGGTCGTCTTTACACATTTCCTACTTTTCAGAGCCTTTTCCACCACATTGTTGAGCTACGCTATCTGTTTTGCTGACAACATAACCAGTGCAGTGATTAATAAAAACTCGACAAAACCTTTTGAGACTGAAACCTTGTGAGAAAGAGGAAAGAATCGTGTTTTGCAATGAGGATTTCACAACAGACGTTTGTCTCGACACACGACTGTTGAGAGACTTCTGGTTTTCCCTCTTTTTTTCATCTTGTCCCTTGAGTTTTCCCACCTTCAGTAATGCCTCTGTCCCTTCCTGCTGCTTTCAGGTGAGGTGGCAGTGAAGTGGTTTGAAGCTGCTCAGACTGGGCTCCCCATGTGTGCTCTTGGAGCTGTGTTGGGACCACTTCGGCTGAATTCGAGGTACAACACCACAAGTGTTTTTACCACAGTAACCTACTGGACCACCAAGACACTTAGCATTATCTATAGTTTATCATAGTATAATCGGAAGTAGTAAAAAAAGTATTTGCTTAATCGCCTAATCATTTCAGTTCTACCTTGTGGTCTTTAAAGTCCTGAATTTCACCTTTTTGGCTACAAGTTTCCACATTAAATCTGTACGTAACAAATTAACATTAAAAAGCATTAGCCCTGCAAACAAACCAACCAAATTTTGTATCAGGAAGAAATTATTAACGGACTGCACATTGCACATTCATTAGGCTTTTATCCAGCTCTATTGTGTGGTACCACAGCGAGATAAGAGGAAACAGTTCAACAACTATATATCATTGTTACGGTCATAATGCCTGTAGCCCATTTCTGTAAATTATTAATCCTTCCTTATTCAGTAACTTGACAAAACTTCCCTGTGATTGTTTGAGGAAGTGGGCTGTGGCACGTTCATAAGAAATAAAAATAGTTGTTGTTCATTGTTGTATCACGCTCAAATGTTTCCTTCCTTCTGTCACCTTCTCCTAGCCGTTTACAGTCACTGTTCACTTCCTTGGGTCCTTGGGCTCTGCAGAATGGTCGGCGGTCCCGCTGCATCCTCAGCATCTTCTACGAGAGACGATGGGAGCAGAACCTCGAAGACCTCCGACAAGAGCTCAACATAGAGCCGCCTCCTGTCATACTCAGTGCTGCCAACAAGAGGAGCACCTGAGAAAGACGGAAGAAAGAGATGAATGATTCAGGAATCACAGGACAAAAGACTTTTAATAGCAGACCACCCAGAAATATAGTGTCATACTGTGGAGTTTCTGTATGAGAAGGATGTTATTGATGACTAGGGAATGGGGAATTTTCACACTTGGCAAACTCTGACTTGTCCATTCTTACATCCTGAATGTATTGTTCTTCATGTTTAGTCAGCCTTTCCTCTGAAATGTGAAATTAAGTCATTTCAACAGATGAAGTGTTCAAGAAACGATGCTAAGAGACAGCAGGTAGCCAGTTCAAGAGGTAATGTCACGGACATCATGGACAAAAATAAATTTAAAAAACGGAAATTATATCCGTTATTAAATACTTGCCTATACACCAACGCGACATTTATTCAGTTGTTCAATTGGTATTCTTGTGACTCATTTTCTTCTTTAATACATCTGTGAAATTATTGAGAAATGATACAGCTGCAGGTGCACGATACTAACACCTATGGGTGGGAAAGGAGCAGGTGTTAAAAAAAAAAAAAACAGTGCAGCTGCTGCAGTTATTTTTGACTCACTGTTTTATCACCTACTATATGAATGGATAAATATATGGCTCCTTTATAGAGTAATAACGACGTCAACAGGAAGTCAAACTGTGTGCACTGCTCGGCAGGTGTACGAGATTAACACATCCGGTATCAGAGGAACATGTGCAGGTCACTCCACACTTCTAAGTATGGGCTTTCAGTGTTAGTTCCTTAATACTACTCTGAAAATTAAACATAAGCGTCTGTGTCTCCCACTGATTTTTAAAGCTGAAATGTTCAATTCACATCCATTCATTCAGCAAGAAGCATAAATGTGCTCAGCTTTAAGTTTTGGTCTGATTGTAGTCAGTACCTGTAGCTGTCCGAGGTCCTGGAGTAAAATGTTGCCTTTCATACTTTACTGATCTGACATGAATCATCAAAACCGCAGTTTCATGACTCATGATGTTTGTAAAGCTGGCTGTGTAAAGTCTTCATTTGACTTTGCTGCCATCTAGTGGTCATTAGAATTAGAGGCGTTCACATACACACAAGTTTTAAAGGGGGCAGATTACTCGATAATAGAGACACAAGTCCTTTGAGAGATATAAATTACAGAACTAGTGGTTTTGTAGACTCAGACATCAAATTTAAAAGTTAAACTAACATTTATGCCCTTTCCAAAAGGTTCTTTCCAATGAAAATAGGAAGCAGCAATTAACTTGCAGAGTCACAAAACTGAGCAAGATTGATTATTGTTAGTCCCTACAGGACAACTGGTATTAAAGTGAGTTGACTTGAATTGCCAAGTGCACACAAAACGAAACCTTGCTGTGGCGTAAAAAGGACAAACTCTATCGCTTGTCCTTGGTCTTCCTAGTATGCACATAAATCATAGGAAACTGTTTACCGTCGGTGCAAGGAAATGGTGCAGCGCATTTCCTGTAAGGCCCCCCACGATCTCTGGTTGGTATAGAGGATAATCATGAAGCATATTCTGCTAGACTTGTCTGATACACCAATACAGATCATTTTACCCAAATATGGAAACCCTGTCTTGAATAATTAAATGTGAATATATCTGCCATTTAGACTAGAGCTTTTATATGGAGTAGGCTCTGTGAGATGCTCAGGCCCAACTACAGTATGTTAGTGGTTGTGATACTGTGATAACTGACTCAAATGTGCCTGCAGATAGCAATGTGTTTTGAGGTTTTCTATGCCTTTTTTTCCCCCTCTTTTTCGTCATTGACTATGTTGAGCTGTTCAGTGTTGTGTTTTAAATTATTGTTATCCTTTTCTGTTCCTCCTTTGTTATATGGAAAAAAAATAAAACAAATTTGGGACAAAAGGGACAAACTCAGGGCTTTTCAGCTCTGACAACATATTATAACAAAGGAAATTACAAAATGAAACCTTGTGTATTCATGGAAATATCTATTGTGGAGACAGAGAATACAATAAGTGGTTTACTGAGCAAAATTATTTGTAGTGAGTTTGTTTGCCACACATTTAAAACAGTCCTGGATCAACCACTATAATTAACATTGTCTATGAAGACTCTTGCAGAGGCCTCATTACAGGGATGAAACTGATGATTAAAACAATCATATTAAAAACAGACAACAGCAAATTTCATTTTTTTAAACAATCGTCAGTCAGGAAATACTGTGTAATATGATCAACAGATGAAGAAATATCAGACAGATCTATTAAATTATTAAAAACAGTAAAAAAAAGAATCAGCAGCTACTAATAGACAAGCAAATAGAATAAATACAAAGTGAGGCCTGTCATAATTGCACAGATGGAGGATCTTTAGCTGCTGATTTATATTTACATTAGAGAAAGTCGTCTCCTTCTGGCATTTCTTCACATGTTTAAGGTAATTTAGTTTTTTGGGCAGTGTGGGTGTTGTGTCAGTGCAGTATGGTGATACTGCGGTCAGTCACAGCACAGGCCAGCAACAGCGGGACGCTGAAGGGATGTGTGAAAGAGTACAGCAAGGCACTGGAGTCTGGCTCGTAAAACAGCAGCGTCTGAGTCGGCCAGTCCAGCAGCAGGCCGATCCTCTGGGGTCTTCTCACGACCTGCAGGGGAACCTTCTTCCCAGCGTGGAAGAAGGAGTAGTCCCCGTCGTAGTGAGACAGCACCCAAGACTGACTGTTGTAGCCCAGCCGGGCCTCGTTCCCAGAGCCTTTGCGCTCCAGAGAGGTGTAGCAGACCCCGACCTTGAAGGCAGCACTCTGGCCGACATCCACCATCCAGCTGTGGGTGCCGGAGGACACAGACACTGAACCCAGCGCGTTGGGCCAACAGTCGAATCGTGCTGGGTCGTAGCGTGGGGATTGGCGAGCTTTTTTGTTTACGAAGGTCAAAGTGCAGAAGTCGTCAGACAGGGAGAGGAGAGGGCTCACTGTGCGCTCGTCAAACTTTAAATAAGATGATCTATGAGCTGTGGGAAGAGGACAAAGATGGGTTGAATGTCACAAACTGATGCATTTCTAGAAACATGTTACATTTAATTACTGTAATTCAACCCTTTGTTTACTGTAATGTCACAGTTTTTGCAACACACAATATCCAAGTGAGGATTGGCCACTGAGCTGGTCCCTTCCTGCCACCCTAATTACATTATGACATTTGTCCACCTTAAAACACATTTACGCTGGTACAATTTTGAGATATTTATACTTCTTTTGATGTGTGCAGTGTAGTTTTGTTTCAGTTACTTTTTACTCCACTATAATCATGCAACAGCTATGTAGTAGTTAATTTTCTGATCACTATTTTCCATAAAAAAAGCTTAAAAATACAGTCTTAGCTTATAATTATCATATATATTCACTTGAAATAGCTCAAATTAGATCCAGCTCAACCAGCTAAAATATTACGACTCTGCTTATATGAATCAGTACAATACTGTAAGACTGAAAGGAACCATTCTGCATAATGAGGACTTTAACTTTTAATAGTTAAATACTTAAATTTTATTTATATATTAAATGTATTTTACTTCAGTAATGAACTGGATGGAGGCCACAAAAAGACAGATTCAGTTTTCTCGTTGAAATGTTCACTTGAAAAGTTTCTCAAGGTGTTTCTGTTTAGGAGAGCTAGCAAAGATACACACATTCTTTCAAGTAGTAGTATAGATAATTCAACTTACTCAAGTTAAAGTGAAAGTTCAGCCTTTGAAATGTACTCAACATATAAAAGTATTCTGTTGGTTTCTCTTAAGGAAATTTCTACCTGCATGTTCTGTGCAAAGCAAATTAAAACTTCAAATAGGGCTGAGTCTCCCTGTCTGGTCCGTTTCATCATGTTACATCTGTCATGTGTGATACACATTTGATGTTGGGAAGATGCAAAAAATGGGGGGGGGGAATCAATAATTCCCCTCAAATGCATTAAAGCTAAAGTGATCGGCCTGTTTTGAACGTTTATGTAGTAAAAAGTACAGATATTTGTGTAGAAATGTAGGGTTTAAAAGCAAAAAGTTAAGATACCTGAAAAAAGGACTTAAGTAAAGTACTAAGTAAGGTGTACTTTGTTCCTTCCCACATCTGCTGTTGGGAGCATATATTAGCTATTGTTATCACATACACAACAAGTATTCATCCCGTACAAAATAAGCTCTCCTTCAGACTCCCCCTGTCTATCCAAGTAAAAGGCTTACAACTGCTAATCACCATCATCAGTGTATGTAAGATTGAATTAAAACATCTACTAACCGTTCGGACCCAGCAGTACTGCAGTGGCCCACAGACCTCTGAGCAGCTTGCTGTCACTGCAACCTGGGTTCAGGTTGAGCTGGTCTGTGTCACAGGGCTCCCCGACCCCCTCTGCTTCCTCAATCCTGACACAAACACACACACACGAACCGCAAGAGGAGAAGAGATATTACACATCTGGTACTTCCTGAGCGAGAAAGAATATATTCACAAGCATGTCATGTGATAGACGATTACCTTTCAGCTATCTCCTGGACACTAGTCTGAAAGACGAGAGAGGAAGAAAGTGTATTTTAGTCATTTATGACCGTTATCTCGATACTATTATTTGAGTTCCTCTATTCTTTATAGCTCTTCCCACAACGTTCTCAGTCATCCCTAAACTCTCCCTTCCTGACAAATATCTCCCAGTCTCTCACCGCCAGCTGTGTGTCTGGAGTGTGCGTCAGTGTGTGCACTAGGCCGGAGCGTGTTTGCGACAGACTCGCCAAAGCCTGGCTCCAGTGGGCTCTCTGGGTGAGGAGACACTGCTCCACCCGCTCCTCCTCTCTCTGCACCCCCTCCAAGAGACGCTGCTCCTCCTCCTCCAGGGCTTCACGCACTGCGCTGACCTGAGCCAGGACCTGCTCCCTCGCCCTGCTCGCCGCTGTCTGCACCAAGAAAAGAGGAGAGACGGGTGGTGTTTGGAAGAGAAACTACATGGTTTTGAATCCAGTTGCCTAATCAATGTGTATCATTCATCACATTTCGAAAGCCGATACACTTATGTTATGTTTCCAAATTTATAAAAGTCAGTTTATGATCAGATATGCTTAATATTGTTCACTAGAAGCTCTAGAGAAATATTCACAGGCTGGCAAAAGAGTGGCACGGAGACTTTAAGTGGTAGTGGAGACATTTGCCATTAGAAATATTTAAATGTGTCATTACAAATCAATAAATAGTTTTATTTCCAACTCTTCGGACATTTTTCATTGAATTTAGTCTAAAATGTGGACATAACAGGCCAATAAATGATATGTATTAATTTCCATTTTTGAACACGTTATTTTTTTAATTAATCTAAATTAATGTGTTAAATCTGACAGCATGGCAGCTGGGTAACAGCAACGTTTAAAAAAGGCACTATTTTAATCTCTAGAAAGCTTCTCCAACAGGCAACTCTTTTGTTGGACTACAGATTAAATACTTCACTAATTTTGATATAAAAAGTAGGGATTATTTTCAATTTTTCAAAGAACCGCTGAGTCTGCAAAATGTCAGAACATGTAAACAAAATTACCATTACAAGTTGCCAGAGCTCATGCTGACATCTTCAGATTAGAAGTAGTCAATATATGACTGGTAATACAGCGGTAGCTATCTCATTTATACGTCTGGGTGTGGGCAAATCTTCGAGCTTCATGTCAATTCAGGACTTTAAAGGTTTGCATCAGTGTGTTTATTTTTTCTGGATTTGACAAAACCTTCCATCTTCCTTGTTTGACTGTGTTATCAATTTATCCCAACATACCGTACTGCACATACTGTGATAAGGACTGTATCCATATTACCCATTCCTTCTTAAAATTGCTTGTTTTGTCAGCCAATGGATGTTCAATTTACGATCAGAAAAACAGGTAAATCATCATATTTGAGAAGCCTATACCAGTGAATGATTAGCATTTCTGTTTTAAAATTTACTTATGCAATCGTCAGGATTGTAGACTATTAACTAATTGATTAATTGACTATTGTCCTTTTTAACATATACATTTTGACAGTAATAACGGCAATAAAAGCACAGGTGTAAATAATAAAATGGCTGAAATAGCTGCTTGTTTCAGGGTCCTGGTATTGTTCACGCTGTCTCACTGCCACAGCTTACTGGGACAAGAACAAAGCTTTTGTTAATGTTATTAGTAGTTAGTTTTAGCACTAATAAAAAAAACAAAAGCTGATTTCTGAATGGTGGCGAAGTCACAGCAAGGCATTTGACCACATCTCACATAAGTTTTATCCTCAATCAACTCCTGCACTTCATTTATTTCCATTAGAACCTGTGATTTCCTTCTACCCTCTAGAAAATAAGACACAATGACTCTTAAAGCAGCCATGACCAATATTTTTATAATAAAATAAAATATAAAAACATCAAATGGGTTGCTGATAGTGTTGAGAATTATCACTCCTAGCAAGTTTAAACTCATTGTTTAACAGTCTGACTCGCACTTACTCTTTTGGTTCACTCTCATGACTCTTATAATGTCATTTTTGGCCACAGAAGACAGCTGTTTTCAATGTAACACTACCTGCTCAGCACAAAATTGCAGACAAACCAGTTAGAGAGCAGCTCGTAATAGATGAGCATTTAGCAGCTAAAGAGCCAGAAATTTCCCAAAGGAGTTGGTAGAGACCATTTTACAATGATGATTGATTTTAAAAATTCATCAAGTGTTCAAATGAATGCTAATGTTGTTCTGTAACTGCTGGACGTGTAAATAAGCAACTGTTTACCAACAACTTCATTATATAAATTTAAAAGCTGATGATCAGTATCAATGTTGCATTCACAACTTCTGCCTCAAAGTGGTGAATAAAAATTGCATTTTCTTAAAGGTTGAGTGCGTAGAATCTACTGGTATCTAGCGGTGTGGTTGCAGATTACAACTCCCTCACCTCACCCTCCCACTCCAAGCCTGTAGGAGAAACTACAGTGCGCTGCGAAACTCTTCTTTCAAAATAAATCTAACATTAGGGAACATGTCTGTCAAATAGCGCCACTGCCCAAGTTTCTGTTTCTCATAAACTACAAAACAAACACTTGATGGTGAGTCCCCGTAAAAACAGAGAGGATGTTAATCACATTTTAAACAATTAACTTCCCACACCTGATCGTAAACAAACAAATACATTGGTAGAGAAACACATATTGGTTTAGTGATGTGATTCTTGATTAGATAAGGTATCTACAGTTTGTCTTTCCTGTATCTGTTGTTTACTTGAGGTTTGATTTGCTCGTAGTAACCTGTTACCTAGAAAACTACACATGCATGACCATAACTCTGACCACTTTAGACACCCACTGTGTTCAGGGAGGTTAATAGATACGGGTCCACTGAAAGAGACAACCTTTGCTTTGTCGCATGGTGGTGATAAATGCACTGAATCAGCAAAAACGAACTCTATTTCATGGTGTACTTTACTAGTTTCTTTCTTATTCATGCATTTTCAACAGCAAAATACTGCATTAAAGTTTTGTTTTGAATAAAAAGATCTTAAATCACTTAGCTGTCATTAATTGATAGAGGTGAAGTGAACGTAAAGACGCAATCAGCTAAGAAAGCAAAAATTTACTGATATTCCATGCATTTTAAGTATGTTAGCATGTAAGTGTGTAAGTATCTGTATGAATTAACATAATAAATTGGGCAATATGAATTGTTTTTTTAACCATACACCATTTCTTTTCCTCTCCTTGTTTATGTAACATTAACTGTTTCAAAGAATTGCTGAGGCGATTAGTCCATAATTAGTCAATTAAGTTATCTATCAGGCAAAAAATGCCAAACATTCACTGGTTCCAGCTTCTCAAATGTACAGATTTTCCGCTTTTCTCCATTTTATATCATTGAGTAAGGCGTCTCTTCGGGATCTAGTGAATTGTGACGACCTTTTTCCTTCTATGTTCTGAATATAATTGAAGAAACAGTTGATAGATTAATTGTTTAATCAATGAGAATAAAACATATTATTTGGGCTGCACAATATGGTAAAAACATATTGCAATATGATTCACTAAATCATGACAATGTGAAATTTGTTATGGTCTGTATCAAACCAACATGTTTTCTTAAATCTGGAGAACAGATTTGTTGTCCAGGGCTTTATATAATGCTGTTTTATCACACATTTTACCCTTGTATATTGCCCTTATTATACTTATTATTTACTACTTATTATAGGGGTCAGTATCCACATACAAGTGTTTGCAAAGCACATGTGACTCTTTCAAGCCAATATCAGATCGTACTTGTAGGCTCCACTGAGTGTATTAGTATTAAAGCTGGTCCTGCCTCTGTGTCATTATTAGAGTGTGGTTGAGTGGGTGGGGATCAGTGGCATTTCTCACCTGAAGCTTGTGTTCTTTGGCTGTCAGTGTCTGGTCGATAAACCTCTCAATCCTCAGTGCCTGCAGCTGTATTTTCTCACACACATCCACCAGTTGGTTCTGGTGACAAGACACAGACACACAGACACACAGAAAACACACACACACACACACACACACACACACACACTGCGGTTTTTAGAATAAGCCCATCAAAACACCTGAACATCATCAGCTGGAGACGTAACAAGAAAATCCTGTCTTTTCAAATACCATGCAGAGGAATCAGCGAGAAAAAAAAAAACACTTGCAAAATGTGACACACCCAAGAAAGAATGATGAAGTACACATATTACACTGTCAAATACATTACCACATTTTTCACACATTATCAGCTCAACAAAGTAACCAGTTGAAATAGGAAAAAATCTAAATTTATTAAACTAAACTTTCTTAAAATAAACTTTTCAAGTAGTCCAATAGTGAAATATAGAAAATAAAGAAGTTTGAAGGCAATCTCTTTCACATAAAGTGAAACCTACCTACCCTGCATGAATCCTCAGAAAAGAAAACATTATATCTATCTTAAAAACAATCACTAACATACCACAGCTCAGTCAACACATTAACAAAAACAAAAAAGTAGTAAACAGCTGTTGCATATGAATACAGCTGTATGAACACCTCCACACACTCACCCGGACTGCGGTTACTCTGGTGGCCAGAGGGGTCACAGTGTGTCCGTGGCAGGGGCCAACGGTGGCGCAGTGGGAGCAGATGAGCTTCTGCTCGGTGCCACAGAACCAGTCCAGCTTCGACTCATGCTCCACGCAGAGCTCACACTCTCCAGAGAAGATCCCGGACTCTGTGTCGGTGGTCGCAGCGGGGGAGGTCGACGGCTGCTGCTGCTGCTTCCCCCCGCCGCTCAGCGCGGTGAAAATAGGCTGCTCACAATCCATCGGCCCGGTTTCCACCGCGTTTAAAGCGTCCTCCGGGTCAGCCGATGGAGACGAACATGTTAACTCACACGTTATGAAGTCCTCGCTCATGGCACAGTGAGGCAACAGGTGCACCCGGCAGAGCAGGAGTCGCACTTACGGTACAGTGCTGTAATACAGGTGTAACAGGTGAGCGGAACACGGAAGTAACACGGACATCAGAGGTCAGAGCTGAGAGGGGAAAAAAAAAAGGTTTCTGCTCTGCTAGTTTTCAGTTGTTTGATTTGGGCGTCAGCTGATAACCACCTTTCAAGTTTTAAATCACGTTGTAATCAAATTTGTAACAGTATAAAGTAAAAAGTTGCTTATTATAAAGCCTAATGTATAAGCTTGCTTTAATTTCCTCTTTTAGGTCGCTTAAAACTTCTCAAATTTCCAGCTGTGAGCTACAGAGAAACCTAACCACAGGTAGAAAGTAACTTCAGATAGACTAAGGTAGCCTATAAATGTGGTGATTTGCTTTTCTTTAAACTACCAAACCAGGCAGCGGCTGTAACTTCATGGTTAGGTATAACAATAACATGTTGCATACACGTGAATGCGTCAAGAACTTAAAGGTACAATCCGACTTTAAATTAAAGGACAACAAATAAAATAAAAAAATCACAGGATTTTAACCTGCTTTCCAATATGATGTATTTCAGGACAAATACAAAATCAATTGTTTGTATTGTTTAAGGTTTGCTTACATCTATGGTGTTTGTAAATAAAGTGATACATCACTATTTTGATTAATAATCAAATAAATGCAGGTTTTTTTTTTCATCTATAACTCCTCAGTTACAAATGTAGAGTCTAATTTATATGGTCAAAGAAGACTGACTGGGCTTTTACTGTGACATAAGGCGATGTGGTTTAAGACATTAATAAGAATGTTTTTCCAATATCACCTGTATGCAAAACCAGATTAAAAATAATCAAATTGATCTTATTGCGATTAAATGTGCTCCTTTGTTATACTTCACATCAGACAAAACTCTTCACCTGTCAACTACAACTTTAATTCCTAATTTTGTTAGTTCATGAGTACATTTTTCTGAATGAGAACTTCGCCTGCAGACTTCTTATTTTCTCATTTAGTATTTTTATTATAGCAGTCAAAAACATTATCTGTAGGTATTTTAATTGCGCATGTTACCTATGTTTACCAGACACAACTGTTAGGAAACTGTGGAAGAGTAATCATATTTTCCAGGGTGGATAGGTGTGATAGACACACAGTTTCATCATATGAGTGTACCCAGGGATCAGCAGCCACACCTCAAAAACAGATCGGTTTAGCAACTGAGCAACACCCACAGTCTGGAAAAGCTTTTTATTCCAGAAAGAATAACTTCCAGGAAGACCAAATATACATAATGAAAGATGGTCAGCCCTTATAAATGGCCAGGTCCATTCATATAAAATGTCTGTGCAGTGAGATTTCTCCTCTTTCACAGTCTGTCATGTGATTGGTGAGAAACTTGAAAAAGAAAATAATTTGCTAATATGTTCTTTAATCCTTCTGCTGACTTAATATATGTTATTGGAAGATACTTTCCATTTATGTGCCAGTGTGACACATTGTTTTAACTGTGAATTTTTGTATTTTTTAGTATACTTGTGCCCTTTTCTACTCATCTGTTTAACTTTCACCATGTAGATTCCAATATTACGAGTTCCCTGTTAACTTGGTGAAGTATCCTGAAGAGGAAATTTGGGCAAACTTTTTAAAACAAAGACAAATGAAAAGGCTTCACTTAAGTTCAAATAAAATACTTTTCTTTAAAACTATAGGTACATTTGGGAGGAAACAGATGAAATTTCAAGCAATTCAATCTAGCACAATGCAGCTCCAGCTCCTCCCACCTCCGTGTCTGTGAGTAACTGGATAGGAGTGATTGACAGAAGAGAGTCATGCCGGCTGAGAAAAGGTTGGTTTCCACACATTTCACTTTGAAATGAGAACAGCAGAGGCACAGGGCTGCCATTGTTTTCAACATAAGAAGCTTTTTTGTCATGGGTAAAAGTCGTAAAACAAAAGACATACAGAATGGAAGAAGGGATTTCAGTATGTTTGTTGTGGAAGAAAGAGCCGGATACATAAATACATGGTGTAAAGCGTGGAAAACAACAATAAACACAAATATTAAATAATAATTAATAATTAAGCTTTATTAAAACAATGATGACACTCCTCTTTCTCTCTTTATGAGTTTTCAAAAAATTAATTCCATAAAGTCTGATGTCACTTTAAGAATAGTTTTTTTTTTTTACCCGACAACAACACATTCATAATCTTATAGTAATCTTAAAAACTCATCAAAAACATAATGGAAACTCTGTAACTGTCTTACATTAACTCACTATTTTTAAATTGAAGATTTCTCAAGTATATACCTTTTTTCTAAAATTAAAATGAATAAAAAAAAAACTAAATTTCCCCATTTGTTTCTGTAATACAAGTCCTGTTCTCCAGAGGGTGCTCACTCACTGGACTGATGAGTTGGGATTGGAGAGTGAAGGTGCTGGTGAACACTTAACAGCACAGTGTCAGGTGGTTCAAGCTGAAACTGTATTATGCCCTTCAGATTATTTAGGTTGGTGAATGCACATGATATGCTTCATTCTTAATGAATCATCCTTAATGACTCCATATTCCAAAATTTTACTCCCACTCTGCATTTCACCCACTGCTCCAGTTGGGATGCAACAGTTGTGTTTCTTCCTTCTGGGGATGTATTTACCCATCAATATTTACAAGTTTCCTTTCATCAAAAAGTGTGTTACTTTTACAAATTATAGGCCTTGTAGTAAGCTAAGTAGAACAATAACTCACCTTTTAGCCCCAGTTTTCTACCATATGAGAACCACAGTGTGTGGGGAAGAAATCTGTTCAACAAAATAATTATTACTGTCTTTACAAAAGTCAAAGTGATAAAAAATAAAGTTTTGTTGATTTTTTTAAATGATTATTGCTTTCTTTGAATTTCTGCAGTAGCCGAACTGCAGCATCATCATGCTGATGTACAGTTTATACTTAACATACTCAATGGTCCTGTATCAAGCAAATGTTGTACACTATGATGTCAAACACCACTTAAATAGTTATCTGGATATAACTCCAGTTCCATGAGTATGTGCGCACCCCTCTGATGGGCTTAATCATTGGGCCTCTGCACCTGTAGGGGGCAGTATCCTCCTCCCCCTATAAAACCCCAGTGCATGTGTTGCTCATCTCCCTTTGAAACTCAGCAACAACTGGACCAGCTGGGCTTGTGGTTAGAGGGTTATTCATCCAGGTAGTAGTTACCTGGATGTATCTTTCTGTTTCATACATGCTCCATCCTCTTAACAGGCTGCGCTATTGGTTAAAACCTAGGTGAACGCCGTACGAATGAGATGTACTCTCTGTTGGGCCCGACTGAAAAGGGCCTAGCCCTGCCAAAAGAAACAGAACAAAAGAAAAGAAAAGAAACATCAGCAGTCTGCCAGCTGAGTACTGGCCACCTGAACATCTACAAGACTCTAGTCTGCTCAAGACGAGCACCAAGCATTGAAGGGGAAACAAAGTCAGCAGTCTTGTCCCTGAGATATGACAGCACAAAGGTGGAGATGGAGGATGAGGTGGCTGCCACACATATGTCCTCCACTGAGACACCTCTGAAAAGTGCATTGCCTCATAGCCCCTGCTGACTGCCTTACAGATCCAGTGAGCAAGCCGCTGCATAGACAGAGGTTCTCCTGGGGACCGACCACCAGATGAAGAACCAGGACTTCCTGAGAACCACCAAGTGCTACACATATCAGGGAAGTGCACGCAGGGGACACAAGGTGTGCACACGCTGTTGGTGTAGAGAGGAGGGAGGAAAGCCTTCATCTGAACAACCGTTGTCTTGAAGGAAGAGGTGGTTAACGACTGAAAAGACAGATTTAAACGCAGTTCCACCCTGTTGTCACTGATAACCGTTAACCGTAACCATTCTGAAACAGGTCCTGCAGGAAATCCAGGATGCACCAGTGCCTGCCAAAGAGATGAGTAGGCCGTGGAGGTGGATGGGGCATTTCAATTGTTAAACAACAACTGCATCTGGGAGGCTGAGTCTGTTCAGTCTCACCTCCATGACCATGAAGCGGTGTCCCAGGATAGGACGGAAGATCGAGTGTCGGCCACAGACCTCAGTCCTGCCACCACTAGTCGGACCAGGTCCGGGTACCACCTGGCACCATGACTCTCCGATGCCATAGCTATTACAAACAGGTGCTGCAAGGTCTTCCAGCTAACTAAGTTAAGGTTCTTTGCAGAGCGATGGTCATCCTCCTTGTCAACATCGACCAACGTCTTGGGCCCAGTCCTTCCTTCCAAAGCAGGCTAACTTGGAGGGAGCTAAATGACTTGGTGAAGCGCAGCCTGCTACCGCGGGAGTTTAAGGCACACGAGTCAAACTGATGCCTCTGACCCAGAGCAAACAGGAATCGTTGTAGTCCACCAGCAGCTTGGGAGAGGGTCAGGAGGAACACAGCTTTGAGGAAGATACGCCAGCCAAAACTTTTTCTGCAACACCCACTGGTGAATTTTACCGTAGGATCTGTTCTTAAAGGGACTGAGTGACAAAGGGCGACAAGCAACATGCACTGAGGTTTTAATATGGAGAGCATGCTACTCACCCATTGGGCGATGAGTGCATAACCTCCAGAGGGTAAACCAACTGAGGAGCCTGATAGAGGGCGGAGCATGTACGAAATAGACGAATAAAAGGCATGGATGTGAAGGGAACTGATTATTGGACTCATAAATGGCACCCGCTCACATGGCGCATAGTGCATGTGCATATGTGTATACATAACACAAAAGAGTTTCCTGGCTTCAGGGGTTTGCTTCCGTGTTGTGCACACAGGTGCTTTAGTGTTTCCCCTGCTGGTCCCGCAATGATGCCACACACATAAAAATAACTTCAGGGCTTTGGAAAAGTTTTAAAAATATAAAAATCCTAATTATTAGAAAGAGTAACTATTGACATAGTTTGCAGTTCTAGGTGTCTTGGTGTCTCTGTTATGATGCTGGTCTATAATAACAGACAATAAATAAAAAAAATAAAATAAAACCTTTTATATATATACAGCACTTTTCAGAACAAAGTTACACAATGCTTTACATTGTGAGAATGCCAGGGGAGGAATTCGTTGCTATAGGGACAAATTAGAAGATCCAGCTCTTAATACATCCACGGTAAAAGGTGATCCCACCCAGCCATCAAACATTTCGCGCGAAAATGGCTGGAAGTGGTCACGAGAGTGTAATGACGTAATAATTTAAACAGGCGGCCCTTAGAAATACTCGCTTCCTATTGGACAGCGTGATCGAACGCCCGGCATTAAAAAAAGTAACGTCGCGTTTGATTGGACGGTTCTGTTCGGTGGCTCGTCCTGCCCCGCCCCCTAGCAGCTCGCTCGGCTTTCCTGCGCCAGCAGCGGTGTGTCACCGAGGTTGGGCTGCTGCCGGAGAGACCCGGAGTCAGGGCAAACACCCAACCAGTGAACCCAAACTGGCATCGCGGCGGGGCTGAGGGGCTGCCCCTGCGAGTTTTAAACCTGAAACACCGCTTAGGTTGGACCCTACGCCTCTCTCTGTCACCGCCGCCCGCCCTCCTGATGTCGGATTTCAAGCTGGGGATCGTGCGGCTCGGCCGTGTGGCCGGGAAGGTGAGCTGGATCCCAGGGCTGCCATGTGCGGCCGGGGAAGGGCCCGCGGGGACCACAAAAAGGCGATGGAAAAATAGGTTTCGCGGTGATGAGTCGGTGCTAGTCAGCCGCTTTAATGGTTATCAAGCCTCCGTGAGTAGCTCAGCTTTGCCGATTTTAGCCGCATTTGAACGGATTAGAGAAGCCGGCCGTGCCGAGCCAGACGGGTTTTCTGTGCCTCCGCCGCCACCACACAGTCTCGCTGTGAAGCTAAAGCTAACTAGCATGTAGCAGGTTACATTAGCTGTTGGCTAACGTCAAACGATGGAATAGCGCCAGAAAGGTAAACACAGGGGCGGGGGGGGGCTTTATTTTGACCTTACCGGTATCGGGTAGTGTAGAAACGGAGAAGACGGCTGTGTTTTTTTAGCCTTTTCGACCCCGGTTGATGGGATTTTATTTTTTTAACAGTCGGTGTTAACGGTTAGCAGTGCCACGCTAGCGTTAGCTGTGTTATTTGGATTACACGGTGAAGTGTCTGCTAATGAGGAAGCCATTGCCATGCTCCATCAACTCATTCTTTTGTGCAACGTGACAAAGCACCGACAGCTGTGGGCAAAATAAATAAATAAACTTGCATCGTTTTAGTTTGTTTGTTTGTTTTAAGTTACATAAGTAACGTTACCTCTCCACATAGATGTGACGGTAAAAAAAAACAACCTCTGGCTCAAGAAATGCCCCTGGCTGCTCTCCTCACAAGACACTCTGCTGCCCACCTGCTGAGTGACAGCCATATCACTAATTTACATGATGTCACTCCTGTTAAGAGCCACACAATAGTCTGCTGGCAGTCAGTGTCACATTGCATGTTTAGACCTTTTGGTATGTGGACTCACCACCCATGCTGTGTTGTACCATGCTCAGTGTAGCGTGGGGACTGTGTTGGTATCTTATCACGTGGATTTTTAAAAGTCCCATCTACTAACAGAGAGAGAGAGAGAGAGAGAGAGCTCAGGTGGCTCATAAATGTCTGTTGCACATGTCAGAAATAAATTTGAGGTGAAGTAATGCTGGTGCTCGGTTGTAAATGTTGGTGTTGAGCTCATTTTCCTTTGGATCTTTGGATGGTGGGAATAGTGTTGCCCTAAATGTGACATCCCTCTGTTTATGTCCGTGTTGTAGCTGTCATGTGCATAAATTCAAATGCCCAAATACAGGTTTAAACACTCCTTCAGCCACTTATTATTTACGA